TATGTGCAGTGGTGTATATTTAAAAGGTCTACATATAAATGACCCACACAAAAACATTTATAGGGGGTACTTGTGTGCGAAATATGTAATCAATTCCCTAGGAGGTAACAGGGAGGTTTAATTAAAGATTCAAATAAATGGCGAAATGTAAATGCAAATGTGTTCGGTGGTTGTACCATAATGAAATAGTTTCTGGAAGTTTAAAAGTTACCATATTCATTGAATAGGCACAAGTTGATGCATTTCACAGGATAATTACTTTGTAGTAATTTTTTCGTTCAAGTACCCCCCATAGAGGAGCCTCTTGCTACACTTGATTTGGATTTGATAGGTAGATAAACGGTTAAGCATATCTTTTAATATCTCTTCACACATTTCATGACAATATTGGGGTATAAATCAGCAGAGCAGAAGAAACTTGGTGTATTGGTAAGGAAGAATTTTTTAACTTGACTTCTAGTTAGCATAAATGTTTAAGTAAACTTGCTTATATTATTTTATAATAATGAAATTTGCATTTTAAAAATTCATGGTATTTATATATTGTGCATTTTATCGAAAAACCTCTCTCTCTCTCTCTCTCTCTCTCTCTCTCTCTCTCTCTCTCTCTCTCTCTCAGGTAAACAACATACCAATATTCAAACAAGTTTGATAATTAAATATGGCAAATACAATGTTGTAAAACATCTACTGCATTAATCTTTTTCTTTTCTAAACATTGATGTTGTGATGAATTATGTACTGTAGTGAACTGAGATTAGAGCTATTAACAGTGATAGCATGTTTGTTTGATGTATCCAGTCTGGGTCATAATTGTAGATTGATATTCAATTATTTTCAAGTGACGTCTTACTATTGACATACTGGGTAATGTACGTGAGTTAAATGACAATTTTTCTTTGATTTTATGGAATTAAAATTATCAGGTGAATTAATACATAATTGATCTAATTCAGCATGTGGTGGACATTATATGTTTAAACTTTTCATAGATTGTTAGCTCACGTGAGCAATAGTCTTTTTTATGAAAAAATGGCATACGAAGTATATGCCAGGAATAATCCACTTTGGGCCTATTCTGACCAAATCTTTTGGAGATAAGGGGATCTGAGATTCTTGCAAGGGGAGATGCAGTCAAAAAATGCACAAAAAAAGTGTTCATGCAATCCTTTGCCAAGAGAGATAACTGTAACATTTTTTTCAAACTTTCTCTGAGAAATTCCAGAGGCTTGTCATTTTTAGCCGGGATTATTGCTCAAAGAGCAATTGCCGGCTTATGTGATCCTGTTCAAGGCAGGATGTTGACCCCATAGTCGCCATTTTAAAGTTACTTGCAAAAATATAGTTCTTACTCTCAACCGCTTTTGAGATAATACAAACGCTAAATAAAACAACAAAAGTTTTATCTATATAAAATAAACATTAGTAGTAATGACTTTGAAAACTTCATAAGTCAAAGAACATAGTTCATTAGCGTAAGGATTTTTGATGATCAGTGTTACCGTAGTTCTCTACACGTACGAGGTAAAGCAGGAGAGGGAACCAGACTGGCCTGTTTGTTTACATTCAGCTGCGGTACCAGACTAATTCTGATTCTGACAAAATCGGACCGTGGTATTAGGATTGAAAAACTCACTGTCAGTGTCTTATCATTTATATTGATAGTTTTAAAATAATTTTTTCATCAGAATATAAACGTGATTCATGTAAGAAATCCATTCTACGAGGGGTTATCAAAAAGTTCGTGGACTGAGGCTATAAAATTAATACTATGGTGTATGAGCTTAAAAAATTTATAAGGAGCATAAAGCAACAAAATATAAAGAAAGTTTGAAAATTTTAGCTTGATACCTTCATAATTCCCCAAATTATTATAAGATAAAGACGACATTATATGATCACCCGGCGCCGTCGCCGTTTAGTTTCATGACGTCCGACAACGTCATTATTTTTCAATGTCCACTTATTCTACTTCGTATACTTATTTTGATGTGATTCTCTAGAGCTAAGTAATGACTTCAACCCGTCTTGTTTTTATGACCTAACAATGTCATGAACAGCAGCTCTCAGTGCATATATTATCACAAATTTACACTGAGAGACATCCTCGCTTGATTGTGTCAGCATATTTTGTTTTTTTGGAGTTCAATATAGCTATAAAACACATGATCAACGTCATTATTTGACGTGATCGATTTTTCAAACTTTGACTACAAATCGACATTAACTTTGCATCCCTTTTCTCTCTGAATCTATTTTGGCAATAAAAAACAATTAATCTGGATGCAATTTTATTCTCCGTAGCCAGTTTAAAAATTTCCTAGGTGTATACCAGTTTTTCAAGAGGCAAAACTTTATAGAATGTTGGAAAATAAAACCCCTCACCCTTTTTGACGTCATGTTCAAGGCAATATTTGTTTGGATACTCCATGTAAAATTTAAAATAAAATTTCATAGAAATTCCAGAATGAGGTAAAAATTTCATATTTTATGGAGCAAAAGTGTTCCAACACATACCTGAATTAACGGAATTTTTGGATGGCAAATGTCCATCTCAAAATAGTTTATCTTAGTTACACTTAAGTCGAAAAAAACGCCGTTTTCGAGGTTGCCCCGCCTGGACATACCATTGCTTACAAAAACTTTACTAATTTATTTAAAAATAAAATTTATGATTTGTGATTTATTCCATAGATAGAAAAGATGATGATAAATAAATATTTTGAAATTCATTGATGTACCTAAAGCGGTTTTAATTTTATGGCGCTAGTCCATGAACTTTTTGATAGCCCCTCGTACTCTGTAAATGAGCCCGGCTCTCTGTACTTCTGAGTACTTTGATTGTCATTAATATCCATCAGAAAATGTCAAAATTACTGAAAAATTCCATGTTTGTGAGAAAGAGAGTCCACATTGGTTGTAACACATGCAAGTGGTTCCTGGATAAGCTCTTCCTATTATGAAGAAACATAGAATCTGTAATATGATTTATAAGAAAAATCCCTGTGTGGTGTAAAGATACCAGATTATATTGAATATATTTCTGTACATTGTCTTTCTAATAATCTACTTAATGCAGTGTCTTACTTCCAATACTAGTAGAATCAATGTTGTAAATAATGTTTGTTGTATTAAATACTTTGATGTACGTACATTAGCAATGTTAAATCTAGCACTAATTTTGTCAGATTTAAGAGTACATTTTATGTAATGTCATTATTATAAAGTTATTTATAAGACCATATGCTGTTAATATTTGCCTAAGATAATTTCTATTTGCTAAATTCTAATGACTAAACCATGTCACAGTAGAAGAGTGACGATTCTACCAAAGTGAGCTGTTAATAAAGTTTTGACTAACTTAATGCTGTATATGGCAAATCATCCAATGCAAGCTCACATTAGTGATTGTGTAAATTTTATTTAATTTATTTCATTGATGTAATCTTAAAAACGTCATTTATTATGAAATCAACTGAAAAATTAAAATTTGTATATCAAATACTGTGTCTACAGAACTATACTATAAAACTCAAGTTTTATTATACATCTTTGATAATTCTCGAAAACAGGCAACACATACAAACCTTGGAAAGCTATGTTTTTAGATCAATATTCTTTTGAAAGAATTATTCCTAAAACTGAAACTTAGAAAGCTCTCTTAGAGAGAACAGCCATGGCTTTAACTTTTCAATCATTAACTTCCCTTACTTATGCAGAATTTCATGGTTTATAATTTATGCAAAATTTCATGGTTAACTTCGTTTAAAAAAAGTTCAAATTATCCATCATATAATCAATTGTATGCCACTTATTCAGTTTGATAATCGATTTTAAATTTGGCCTGATTTTGCAACACTAGGAATCAGTTAGTAAGTAAATTGGGATCAGTGAATGATTGCATTGGGATCAAGTCTGCATGAAGATCAGTAAATTAATAGAGGATGAGTTTAAACTGTTAATGATTGGGAAGGAATCTTCTTATGAGTACATGGAGATCTATCAAGGATTATACAAATATCAATTAGTGCATGGGGTAAGTGAGAAGATAGGGAACGATTAATGGATGCATGGGTATCAGTAATTGTGTGAATAAGAATTGCATAGGGATCAGTTAGTGTAAGTAGGATTGGTTAAGTTAGTGCATGAGGATTGGTTTAGTTGGTGCATGAGGATTGGTTAGTTATTGCATGAGGATTGGGTAAGTTATTGCATGAGGATTGGTTAGTTATTGCATGAGAATTGGTTGAGTTAGTGCATGAGGATTGGTTAAGTTAGTGCACGAGGATTGGTTAAGTTAGTGCATGAGGATTGGTTAAGTTAGTGCATGAGGATTGGGTAAGTTATTGCATGAGGATTGGGTAAGTTATTGCATGAGGATTGGTTAGTTATTGCATGAGAATTGGTTGAGTAAGTGCATGAGGATTGGTTAAGTTATTGCATGAGGATTGGTTAAGTTAGTGCATGAGGATCGGTTAAGTTAGTGCATGAGGATTGGTTGAGTTAGTGAATGATTAGTGCATGAGGATTGGTTAAGTTTAGTTAGTGCATGAGAATTGGTTACTAAGTGCATGAGGATCAGTAATTGGACAGGGATCTAAGTAATTAGAGTAACTTAGTAAATGAATTTGTAGGTGATTGTTGGAACTTCCTAAGAGAGTGGGCTTTTGCCATTTATCTATCCTGAATTGATTGGAGACTTAATGATGCAGAGGCATGTACTTTCCAAGGGTTTATTTTTAGAGGTCTCTTAAGAAATCTTATTGGAAGATGCTTCTGCAAACGTCATGTGTCTGTGTTCACATGTAATTCAATTAACACATCTAAATGCCAGTAAAACAAATGATTATATTGAACTTTTAGGAATTGAGGATAGTGACCTAGTTTATATGTTTAGCAAGGTGACGGACCTGAATAAATCTGGGCAGTAGGGTAGATAAAAACTGTGAAACATAAGTGATAATTGACAATAAAGTATGCCATTATATATATTTTTGTAGGTGAACCATGCAGAATTATTCCACATCCTGACAAGACACTGGTCTGTACCTGAGCAATAATCATGAAGTCAGAGGTATGATTTATTCCAATTTTTAAAGATTTTTTTTTTTGCAGAATCATAAATCAAATATTTAAGTTACCATGCAAAGTTAAAAATTTATATATATATATATTTGGAAATGCTTCAGGAGGATGCATAACAGAAATATAATTATGTAATGAGCTTAAGCAAAGATTGTTTAATTTTCCAACTCCATATTTTTCGTTGATTCTTTTAAAAAGACTTTTTTTTTCAATATGGGTAAATATTTTGAAATTAAATGATAGAGTATCAAAATTAATTTCATTTATCGGGACATTAAGCTGAATGATTCAGTTTTCAAAAACAATAGAATTATAAAATTAATTCTGTTACCTAAGTATGTAAAAATTTTTATAAATCCTTGTATGTTCATGTTCTTGGTATCACAGTTGTATCACTGGGCCAGTTTAGTTTTACCAGTATATGGTCGAAATATATGTCAAGAGATGTGAAATGATTTTCATCAGATTGTTTAGAATTAAAAGAGCATTAAATGTTTGATATAAAAATAATTGCATGTAATTTGTATATTCTTGGATATTCATAACATCAAGGTAGGTGCATTCGTATATTTAATTAATATAAAGCATATACATGTACTGTACAGTATGTAGAATGCTTCTGCTAGGTTTAAGGGGAACTGACCAACCAAATATGCAGTAGACTTATTTTATTTAAAAATTGTTATTTTCTTTTGCTAAAACTACATTTTTCTTGCCATTGTTAGAATTGCCACTCTATAAGGACATTCTTTTGCTTATCAAGATAATATTGTTTTCATTAAATAAATATATCCCCCGGCAGTTCTCTTTCTGATCATCACATATCTGAATATACTCCAGAAATAAATATAGTAAATTTTGCAATAGGAGTAGAAATGTTCACGTTTATTGCTTCATTTGTGCTGAAAGCAATATAAGCAGCAACTTTGTTGGCAAAATTTTCTGTTGCAAAACTCTTTTATTGATGCAGAATTACATTATTGTCATCTTGTACAATATCGTTTTCTTAATTGAATAATACTAAATATTTGATAATACAGAGGTCTTTCTTTTGAAACATTTTTAATACTTTATTTTTAGTCTAATTGATCAGAAAGGTTAAAATTACAAATTTACCAAAATGATGTACAAATTTACCAAAATGACACATTTTAATAGCAAAATAAATTTCCCAAAAATGCAGCTCATATTGCTTGTAATGCATGCAGATTCAAGATTTGCATGTCTGTAAAATGTACTACTGAAATACTAGTATCTTATTCTAAAAAAGAAAAATTCACAAGAAACTATTAAAATTTTGTAAATTGATAAATGTCACATTAAAATTCATGCTTTGCATTTGCTTGTATTTTTTTTCTTTATTACCCAAGACTTATAAGAATATTATTTTGAATTTAAAAAATGGTGGATTGAACTTGTGACCCCAGGAGGAAGTGCACAGAGAACTAAAAAAAAATGTGTCAAATATAAAAATGGGTTCAGTTAATAGAGGGTGATCAGATACTTTTTATATATGGTCATTTTGGGTCAGATGGGGAGAGTGTAAAGTTTTTTGAACATGATTTCAGAAATGTTTTTGTTGATGGTTGAGTGACCTCTAGGCCTTTGATGTTCTGTCTGCTAGGTAGACAGTTTTTGCCTGATACTTTAGTGACAGCAGATGCCCATGGGCTATTGTTTGTGTTTGTTAAAGTTTTGTTTATCTGGACTTTGTCATATTCATTGAGATTAAAAATTCATTTTTTCAGGTTTTGTTGAATTCAGCTTCTAGGAAACAGAATAAAAAGAGGCAGATTTTGATGCAAGAAGAAAATGGGAATGAGAGTGGAGACAAGCCTCGGAGTGACTTTGATACGTGTAATGTACTGAGTATGACGAAATGTATCAAACTTTCAGGAAATCTCCTCTCAGGTACAGTATAATCTTTCCTCAATAAATGTGATTCAGTGATTGGATAAATTTTTAAAACTAATAATTACCCACAAGTCATTTTTATTGAAATCCATTCGAATTTTAATATCTTCTGAGTCATGTGTGACCTTTTGTTACTTTTTCCACATTTTTATCTGTCTCCAAAATGACTGAGTCATTTTCACCTAAATTCAGTTTCTTGCATTTGGGAGAACAGAATTATGAATTCATGGTTTGTCAGGGTTGTTACCAAGACCCAGGGGATCAGGCATTTTCCCTGCTTATAATAATTAACCCCCCAGTTATTCAGGTATTCCCCCTCAACACCCTTCAGGTATCAGGTTCGTTCGTCCGATCTACCTGTTCGCAGGAGTTCGCACAGAGTCCTCCCGAAATATTGTTCGCTCTATATTTGGTTTGGCCAATACTTATATGTACTTGTAGATATATAATTATATAATTAAATATTAACATATATTATTTATTCTAGTTAATTTCTTTAAGATCTTGGGATTTTTTTTTTTCAAACTCCAATTCAAAAAATTATGTTTATTTAGTCTTAATTTTTAGCTCTACTGGTCAGAGACCAGAAGAGCTTATGCGATAGTAATGCGTCCAGCGTCCGTCCATCTGTCTGTCTGTCTGTCTGTCTAGCTGTCCGTCTGTCTGTAAACAATTTTTCAAAATGCTACTCCTCCTACAGTTTTGGTCTAATTTCAATATAACTTGGCACAGTTTTAAGAAACATAATTTCAATATAACTTGGCACACAATTTCTGTTAAATTTTTTTCAAAATGCTACTCCTCCTACAGTTTTGGTCTGATTTCAATATAACTTGGCACACAAGTAGACTACACTAAGATACATAATTCTGTGTATCGGTTTTTGATTTCGATGAACGATGTTGCCGTGGTTACTAAAAATAGAAATTTCTGTAAAATTGTTTCAAAATGCTACTTCTCCTACAGTTTTGGTCTGATTTCAGTATAACTTGGCACACAAGTAGACTGCACTAAGATTCATAATTCTGTGTATTGGTTTTTGATTTCGTTGAACGTAGTTGCCGTGGTTACTAAAAATAGAAATTTCTGTAAAATTGTTTCAAAATGCTACTCCTCCTATAGTTTTGGTCTGATTTCAATATAACTTTGCACACAAGTAGACTACACTAAGATACATAATTCTGTATATCGGCTTTTGATTTCGATGAACGGTGTTGCCGAGGTTACTAAAAAATAGAAATTTCTGTGAAATTCTTTCAAAATGCTACTCCTCCTACAGTTTTGGTCTGATTTTAATATAACTTGGCACACAAGTAGACTACATTAAGAACATAAAGAGACTTTTTCTCTTCCTTTGCTATAAGTACAAACCAGTAGAGTTTCAGTCTCGACAGAGACTTCTGGTTAATTTGATTCTAATGTTTTTTGAAGGCCTTAGTGTTTGCATTCTGTTATAGTTAATTAGATGTTTAATATCAAATTTTCAATGTTAATTAGGGGGACATGCACATCTGTGTTATTTTTACGAATTGCGCTATGTTTTGAAAACAAAGGACTGAGACGTTAATTGGTCCATTATGGAACTGAACAGTGGATGATGAAGGTTTTACCTTTGAAGAAATCCATTAGATCCTTATGCTACATAAAATAGGGCAAACGGACCCTGTGCGAGCAAGTTTTAGGGCGAGTGAACTCGGGGCGAACGGGAATCAGGGCAAACAGGATCATGGGCGAACAAATTTTAGGGCGAACGAACATACAACCCACCCTTCAGGGGAGGAACCCTAAACACACTTCTACTTTTTTTATGTCCCCAACTGTTTCAATTCAACCCTGTCTATGCTCATAACCCTCCTTTAAAGAGTTGAGCATACAAATTAAAGCTTTATAAAATTCCTTTTTATTGCTGAAAATTTATAAGGCCAAATGTTTCCATGATTAGTCCATTTCCAGCATTATAAAATGCCAGACTCAGGATGTAGGGTATAGCTTTAAAAGGTGAGGCTAACTAGGTCACTGTTTAAAGTGCATTGCATCTTTGAAATCAGCTTATGGATATGCATACATGCAGCAAGCTGTCTGCCTTATAATCAAGTATAATTAGCACTACTACAAAAGTATGATCAACTAATTGAAATAACAGAACAAATTATGGTAATAACAACCACTATTTCTATTAGAAAGTCTTAGTAAAAAGCTAGATGTAACAGTTACATTCTCCCACCCCCAAATAAACTTAAGTGTTCAGTTGTTATAATGGAGTATGACCCCCAACAGGCTCAAAATCCCCACATTGAAAAAAAAGTCTGTCTTCAGTAAACAATCATTTACCAGCATATTTCAAAGAATCATAATTTAAAATTAACCTTTTTTTTTTAATGTGAGTGAACAAAAAGAGTGGATTTCGAAGTATCCATGGAAGTTACTCAGGTGACCAGCAAGGCTCTTGGACCTCCTGTTTGACATGCTTTAACTCTTATTTAAATGCTATATACTTGTCATAGCTGATATAAATTGAACCTTTAATATTTGAATTTGATTACAGATTCTAAATCCAGTAACAGTCACGTGAGTGAAGAGTTAGGACATGGATTGGAGGTAGTCCCAGAGAATCGAACACCGTCCCTGTCGTGTGACCCCCCACTCTCGTTCGGAATGCTAACAAACTTCCAGGCGGACCATTTATTTACAAATAAGCATAATACATCTTATGATGCTAATATAAGAGCAGCTTCACCAGAATTGAGCTACAGTGATATTGTCCACAATCTCTCTGTTACTTCTCCAAATTTTAGAATTTCAAATAATGTCCATCATACAGACCTACAAATAAATACCCTCGACACCCAGGGGTTTCCAGGACCCTTAGCAGCTGCATCCCCACTGATCCCAACACCCACAATATCAGAGGATTCACAAAATGTAAGTGTGAAAATCACTGTGATGTGTCATTTTAAAATTCCATTTGTTGCCAGTGACTGCCAAATAAATAAAAAAAGAGGTACTGAAAATTACAGCTTTTCAGATGAAAGTATCAGGAAATCAGTGGTAAATGCTGAATATTGGAATGGATGATTTTGTAGATCAAAACAATTTTGTTTAAAAAAAAATCAGAAGAAAACTATATTTTAGAATTACCAAATTCTAGATATGAGATACAATTCATTTTAAAATATATTAAATGACAGAATTTTTCAAGAAATCAATTTCAAAAAGTGCAAGTGTTTATGCAAAAATAAGAGAACTTTAAAAAAAAATTTCTTTTAATAATTTGCAGACATCCCAGTCCAGTAATGGTTCTCCTACCAGTGGTTTTCCGTACCTTAGGCTGTACCCTAAGGATAAGGAGGACTCTCCCCCCAGGGTACAGTTCCACCAGTGTCGATGGATGCACTGCGACAGCAAGTTCCTCAAAATGGACGACCTTGTCAACCATGTCAATGACCAGCATGTCAAGGTTGAGAGACCTGATATAGACTATCAGTGTAAATGGGAAGGTTGTCCTAGAAGAGGGAAGGGATTCAATGCGAGGTAGGGTCCTGATCAACAGCTAGATCTTTTTATAAGATAATGGAAATTCATTTGTTATATTTTATGGATACTTTCATTTATATCTCAGCCCAGCCAATGGCTCAAAGTTTTCTGGTCAAAATTTGACAGATGTTATCTAAAAATAATATGCATGAAAATTTTACTTAGGAGATTAATTCGAAAATAAATTAGGAAATATACTTCTCTTAGATTTTTGAGATGCAATAAATTGTAATTTTTACCAATTCTTTGTTGTTTGATATACATCTATATTTGATGGGGGAAAAAATGATGTTATAGTAATTTAATTAACTTTGTCATTTCTAGGTACAAAATGCTTATCCATATAAGGACCCACACCAATGAAAAGCCTCATAGCTGTGCTTTATGTGGAAAATGCTTTTCTCGCTTAGAGAATCTTAAGATTCACAACAGATCCCACACAGGTAAGTCATTCACTCTGATTCTGTACAGATAAAAAAAAAACAGGAAACTGCCATAAGTTAAATTTTTGATAAATCAGAAAGAAAAAGAATAGGGCACAAAACACTTTCTTTTTGAAATTCTGAGCTATTGTGTTTAGAGATACCATTTCTCAATATGACTATAATTGCAAAAATTTGTTATAATTAAATGACTTTTAATTTTGCGTAATACTGAAGAAGAACCAATTGACTTTGGCTGAATTTATATCATGATTATTTGTTTGATATGAATACATGGACAAAATTCACATCATGAAAATTTTTTGTAGGAGAGAAGCCCTATATCTGTCCTTTTGAAGGATGCAACAAAGCATACTCAAATTCTAGTGACCGATTCAAGCATGTTCGAACTCACCAAGAGGAGAAGCCATACATCTGTAAAATGCCAGGCTGCAACAAACGTTATACTGATCCAAGCTCTCTACGCAAACATGTCCGCACTCATGGACATTACTTCAATGGTGAAAATGATAGCAAGAGTTCCAAATCAAAATCTCCTGAACTGCGGAGGTCGCCGCCAGAAAATCCGTCTCCGCCCATTTCCTCCAATCCCTCTCCCACCAGCGTTAATCAGAAATTATACAGCATTCCTACGAGCTGCATTCTTCAACAAAGCATGCCAGCTCATTATATGTCTCCTCATGGAATATTTCCCTCCAATCCAATGTTGTCGTCTGCCGTCCTTACTGGGGGACTACAGTCAATGTCGATTCCAGCAGCTGACAGCTTGGTGACCGTGTCTCCGAGCTCTCCCATCAAACTGGACATTGAAAGTGATAAACTGTCCCTGGAAACCAAATGCCAGGATGGACCTCTGGACCTGACAACCAGCAGTCCGTCTACGGGATCTGATGTGGATGTTGGAGATAGAGATGGTCCACACTTTCAGAACGTTAACTCCTCCATGCATAGTGCCTTGTTTGAGGATGAGTGATCAGCAATGTTATTTTTTGTCTCATAGCTCTGGGGTAATTTTTAAAAAGGGAAAGAAAAACTTGTTAGGAAACTTCTGCCTTGCAAAACTATGTATTTTACTTGTATATTTTTTTTTCTTTATTTATGACATGAAGGCAGTTGCTTCCATTTATTTATTTTCTCCGTCCATGTTTTTACGAACACTAGAATTATGTGTGATTTTTTTTTTATTTAAATGTATTTTAATAATGTGTATTGAATTACAACTGTGACTTTCTTGTCGCAAGCAACGAAGATTTCTACCTAACAGTATTATTGCAATAATCATGTCTAATTGTTAATTAAGGTAGCTAGCTTGACAGTTTGGATATATACATGTACGTATCATTCCTGCATGCACACAAAAATTTCAGCTTAATGATCTTCACAGCATTGTTTTTCTAGAGCAATCTTAGGTTGATATACATCTTTGTATCATACATTTTTTGTTGTTTTCCTATCTGTTTGGTATTGATTTTGTGCATAATTCTACATTGTATTGTATATCTTATATTTATATTAAGTATTTTACCGAAAGGGAAATATTTTAGACAAAGTGAAAATTTATGCAAAATTTCAAAACTTGAGTACAACACGTAAGAATGATACACTGTAGTTGGTGACATGGTTTATGTACTAGGGCTTGTTTCTAATTTGTTGAATTTTATAGAAATTTACAGAGCCTCCAGAAAGGATCAAGATGCATGTGTATAGAGATCCATGATTCAAAACAAATTTTATGATTTAAGCTTCTTTTCAGAGTTCATGGAAAAAACAACCTTAGTTTGTAACATCATAAAGAAAAAGTGTCTGACATCTATCCCATTACTTGCCTATTTTCCTCATTGTCTTTTGATGCAGGCAGTATTTTAGTGTACAGTTTGTCAATGAACATTTCTAAAAAGAATTTCAGAGGATATATAGGCCACTTTATGTACAGACTTTGATGCATCAGTTTTAATATGACATGTGTCATGATCAAAAGTATTTAAACCAAATTCATGTAATTTACTCATGCATTCTCCTATATTGGTGTTCTGTTTATTCCTATTAGTTTATTTTTATAATATTTATTAAATGCCACAAAGTTCATTTCATTAAGGTTCATTACCCCTGTGATAAGGGAAATCACTCTTATTAACAATAAGGCTACATTCCCAATAGTTTGAGAGACAGATGATGTTTAATATACAGTAAAGCCTGGATATAGGGAACACTTGAGGATGTCAGTAGTTTTTGTGTTTCTAATGATTTTGATTATCTAGTTGATATTTTGTACTTCTTTGTAACACATTACAACTATGATATAAACAGGCCTCCACTGTAAGTATGCTCACTTCATACATTCTTTACTGTTCTAAATGTCCCTGTTTGCATTTCAAAATGAACAGGTGTTGATTGTTCATTAAATATATATTTTAATCAAAAGTGCTATATCAGAGTGCTAAAAAGAGTAATCTCTGAAAATGTTTGGTAAACTTCAAAATATATTTCACAACTATGATTACTTGCACATATGGGAATATTTTTTCAAGGATATGAATTAAATTTATACCTAAAAATATTAGCATAATATATCAGGTAATGATGAAGTTTGAAGGGAATTAAGGAGTTTTATTAAGATTAAGGGATTGATAAATGTCAGAATGACCATTATATGTACTTTAAAAAAAGATCAAGTGGAATTAAAATGTGTAAGTTAAGATAAAATTATAGGAGAAGATTCTCCCAATTCTTTGATTATACTATTGATAGGGACTTTCAGTAAATATGACTTCAGTGACTCAGGTTAGCGTTGTGGCCCTTGGCCTTCTTGATTTATGTTGGGATACTTGTTTCTGTGTAAGACTTCACATCATATTCATCTCTTTTACATAATGCATCACCCAGGCACACATCTTAGAAATAAACTCATAGCCTAATTTGAAAGCTGGATGTGTTTCTGGTAAATATTTTCTTAAAAGTTTAAATTACTTGGAATGGGACAATAATTCATTTTCATTGTGTCAGCACCCAATACCTTTCATAGATCTAAGCTAAATAATTGTGCCAAACAATTCATCTTGCATTCCAAACATATTATAGAATTAAACTTTATGTCTTTCTCAAAAAAAAATATTGAAAGCATAATGAAGTTTAAGGATAAATAACACAAACAGATTTTTTTTACGGAAATCAGCAATAGATCAAAGAGTTCTCATGGATCTATATTCAGATAGGTACCCTGAATAATTTCTGCCAAGCACAGTGGGAGAAAATTGTAATATTTTGTTACAGTGTTAAAAATATGTGCAAAATTTTGGTATAGAATTACATAAGAAGATATACAAAGTCACATGTCTAAGAACCATAGAAAATATGGATTTCCTTATATTTTAGGGTTGTGTTATTTAAGTCATTTCTATTTAAAAACAGTCAAAAATATACATCAATCCATACATCAAATCTTTGTGTTATGTATCCTTAAGATTTTATTTTGTAATTCTTGCCTATCACAGGATGTGTGTAGGATTCCTCTCTCTTCTCAGTTGTATAGGTGCTATATATGATAAAGCATTTAGTGACAAATGAACTCGTTTATTTGTTGTGATACATTGTTTTGGATTAAATAAATGAATTATATCTGTTATAACACATTGTTGTCTGTTGAACTCATTGTACAAAGGAAATGGGGTACAGTTGAATATTGACATCTTAGACACTGATATCTTGAATACCTTTTATACATTGACTTGGAAGTCACAACTACAAAACCTTTGCCTCAGTGCTTTCACTGAAAATGGGAGATGGTTACTGTATCTCTCCATCACTCTATGCCAGCAAACTTGCCCAGAAAAAGTATCCTTGGGTGAAGGGGATTCAAGTTTGTTCAAATGAGGGGCAACTCCCTCTTTCAAGGGGAGATAGAACCATTTCCAGGTAAGTTTGGACTTTCAGTAAGGTGTGGCATTCTTGGGGCTACCTGATTATGTCTGTGAAATGGCGAATAAATTCTCATTGGTTGAAATTAATAACATCAGGAACTTTAAAATTGTTGTTGAAAATGATGAGATGACTTATGCTCCACCACTTTGCAGGATGAGACAATGTTTTTAGTTATTCGATACACTAATTGGCATTTGCCCAAATTTCTATCCCATGTATATTTCAACAGTGAAGGCAAGATGTGTAAATTTCAGAAGCTAATTATGTAATGTTGAGAATTCCAAGCCTTACTGAAAGTCCAAGCTAAAGTTGAAATTGTCCTAATCAGGAATTGGTGAAAAAAATGGTATCTTTTAAAAATCTTCTCAAGAACCACTGGGCCAGGAAAGATGAAACTTATGTGGAAGCATCCTTAGGTAGTGTGGATTAATTTAAAGTTTGTTCAAATCATAAAACTGGGGGTAGGGTGGGGCCACAATGGAAAATTAAATTTCTTCTTCTCAAGAACAACAAAGTCATGATTGCCCTTATCAAAGTAAAATTATTGCAGCAATATTTCTGCTATATTGCGGCAACATTGCAGCAACACATTTTTGTCACCAGAAACAAGCTTTTTGGGTTAGTGAAATATCACCGCCAGCTGCAACAACTTCTGGTGACATTCTGGCAATACTGCCAGAAAAAAAAACTTTCTGGCAACATCTAGGATTACCCATGAGCCATTTGTTGAGCATGCTCAGTCATTTACTTCCTCTTTTTAAATAAAGTGGAGGGAATTCAAAGGCAAGCATGTTTTGCTTCATTATTGACTTGTATCAAGTTAATTAGAGTTGTTAATTGTGTACAGTGGGATTAGACAAGATGAGTAGTAAGACTGCATAATGTGGAATGGCTAGAAAAAAAAGAATTTCAGGAGAATTATAGGAATGTCTACTCTAGCTGTTTCCATATGATCAGACTTAATTGGTGAGTCAAAACCATATTCTTTTTGAGATGAATGATTCTATGGAGATAAAATTGGAAAAATTATATGTGTTTCAACTAGTGCTTGTGATGCTTGTATACTAGACTTGTATGTCTATATATCCTGGTGTTGCAGGAAAAGATGAATGCATGTTATCAGTTAAAATGCATGAACATATATAATTATAATTGATTGCATAAATTTGAATACCTGCCGCAATATAGAAGCAATGTTGCTGCAATAATTTTACTTTGGTAAGGGAGTTTGTTCAAATCATGACCCCTGGGGCAAGGATGGGGTCATAATGTGTGATTAAGGTTTAATATAGAAATACATCAATTAGCAAAAACCTTTAAAAATCTTCTTAAGAACAGCAGAGCCATGACTGGTCATATTTATATGGAAGCATCCTCAGGTAGTGTAGAATCAAATTTTTTTCAAATCATGACCTGGGGGTAGAGTGGGGCCACAATGGTGATCAAAGTTTTATGCAGGAAAACATAGGAAAAATCGTGAAAATTCTTCACAAAAACATCAAACCATAATTGGTCATAAATTATAAAAGCATCAAAAAGTTAAATTACTAAAGATCTAAATTTGGCCAACCAGGTATGGAATTCCATATACGACAGCCAACTGCTCACTGCTTACTGCCAACTGCTCACCGCTTACTGCCAACTGCTCACTGCTTACTACCAACTGCTTACTGTTTACTGCCAACTGCCATACTTTTTTGAATAAATGTTCATATCTATTTTGATATTTGTGTGAATTTTCAAGAAAAAAAAAACAGGCGCGGATCCAGGAGTTTTTTTTTTAGGAGGGTTCCACCCTAGTACGAAAAATTCATCCCAGAAATTTCTTGACAAGAAAAAAATAAATAAAAAAAACGTAAGTTTCCTCCTTTCCTAAACGTGAAAAAATTATTTTGGCGGGGACAGGGGGATGGGTTTGACTTTTTATGCTTCATATCTTCATATCTATGATTTTTCTATGACCATGAGAGGGCGGGGGTCCAATTGTCACCTTTAATTGGTTTTGTTTATACACTACACAACTGTACAAATTCCAACGGGATGGTACGAACACCCCCCCCCCCCCGGATCTGTGCATGTTAAACATTATTTAATTGTATATATAAACAATTAATTAAAGAGACATCAATCTTTAATTTGAGAAAACTTTTCACTTTAGAAATTGACGGAAATGGAAAATTATTTCAAAACATCTTCCCCCGCGAAACAACAATCTTTTTTCAGTTTTTATTCTTTCCAAAGGTTTTGTGTCTAACGAGGAGGGATGGGGGGGGGAGTTAAAGATTAAAACAAGAAATTTAAATTTTCAGATAAAAAATTAAATGTACTAAATATCACGTTTATCAATCTCATATGTTGAATTTAACATAAATGAAAACATACGGTGAGATTTAAGAGTCATTTATCCATTTTCCCGAATATTTAATAACCTGATGACGTTTTCAGCCTGATTTCAATTGCGGATAAAGGAGTTGTAAATAAAAGCAATTGTATCTTTTTGTCTCTGGTTTTTAAAATAAGCACTTAATACTTATGAACTTAATTTTCTTTGCATTCAGATAAGTTGTAATGGCCAAACTGCCATTTATATTTAATCAAATTAAATGAATGGAAAATGTGGGCGGAAATCGAGAGTTAGTACATGTATGCGTAGTTCTCACAATAATAACATTTAATTTTGGAAGATTTAGGAATTTTTAAACTGTAAAGGCGAGGAAGGAGTAAATCGGAAGAAGGAGAACTAGTATTTTCTCTAAAATACAAAATATTTAATTCCTGAATTCCGTTGCAGGCAAATGATTTGTTAGCTTTTTAGCTCACCTGAGCCAAAGGCTCAAGTGAGCTTTTCTGATCACATTTTGTCCGTCGTCCGTCCGTCCGTCCGTCTGTCTGTCTGTAAACTTTTCACATTTTCGACTTCTTCTCAAGAACCACTGGGCCAATTTTGACCAAACTTGGTACAAAGCATCCTTGGGTAAAGGGGAATTTAAATTGTTAAAATGAAGGGCCAAGTCCCCTCAGAAGGGGAGATAATCAAGAAAAGACAAAAATAGGGTTGGGTCATTAAAAAATCTTCTCAAGAACCACTGGGCCAGAAAAGCTGAAACTTATGTGGAAGCATGCTAGGGTAGTGAAGATTCTAAATTGTTCAAATCATAACCCCCGGTGGTTGGGTGGGGCCACAATGGGAATCAAAGTTTACATAGAAATATATAAATAAGAAAAATCTTTGAAAATCTTCTTCTCAAGAACCACTGGGCCAGAAAAGCTGAAACTTATGTTGAAGCATCTTGGATAGTGTAGATTTCAAATTGTTTAAATTATGATCAGTAGGGTAGGGTGGGGTCACAATATGTATTACAAGGGGGAAATCTGGTAAAGAACAGAATGGCCAAAGCTTCTCAGGTGAGCGATGTGGCCCATGGGCCTCTTGTTTTGGAAGCGGGAAAAAGGGAGGAAGTCACAAACGACAAAAGAACAAACTTTTAGAATGGTCTTGGGTAACATTTGTTGGTATATGTATTTATACTAGAAATATTACTGAAAGTTAAAATAATGTATGACTTTTGCTTAATGAAAAATATCTAGTAACATTTTTCGGTGTGTCTTTTTAGCCTAGGAAAAGTACCAATCTTTCTGTATGAACTATGCAATAAAATGTGTTCAAAACAAAAAGTACTTTATATGTTGGAATTCTTATATGTCTTATAAAATCGTTTTAATGGCTAATGTTAGACCTGTAAAAACATTCGTGGTGGTGGTGGGCGTACCCAATACATTTCCAACATGTACTATTTACAGTTGACTAAGTGGTCCCTCAATCAAGACGCCTGTGACCTTTTTTTTTAATTCCTTGTCAAGGGAAATATATACCCAAGATCCTACAAAAATTTTGCCCCTCCCATTTTTTTGACCTATTGAATTATTTGCCTGCAAGGAAAATGTGGGAATTAGATATACTGTATTTAAAAGGGAATACGGTATTCTTTCCTCCTATATTTATTTCTTCCTTGCCTCCACTGTTTGAATCCGCCAATTGGTGTTATTATTGTAATCTAGGGTTTAATAACGTATTAACGATAACAAAACAGGCAATATCATCTACGAGCAGTGGCATTAAGCAGTGAAAAGTTGATAGTAAGCAGTGAGCAGTTGGCAGTAAGCATGGTAAGCAGTTGACTGTCGTATATGTATGGAATGCCATATACGACAGCCAACTGCTTACTGCCAACTGCTGGATGCTTACTGCCAACTGTCAGCTGCTTACTGCCAACTGTCACACATATTTGAATAAATTTTATATTTGCATCGATATATGCATGAATTTTCACAAAAAAAGGGGGAAAAAGACACGGATCCAGGACATTTTTTCCAAGGGGGTCAGCCTGGTAAAATTGATTTGCATAAAGTGACCAATATGTTTTATCTTATGTAATATTCAATATATGCGGTTGATAAAGTACATTGTTTATTATTTTTTTTATTTGTTTTCCTATTCGAAATAGGTAATAAAATTGTTACATTAAAGTTTTAGAATTCAGAGAATTTAAAACTAACTATAACAATCTAAGTCCATTGTGAAAAAATGACTATTTTCTGCTTTTAATCTTTAAAGACCCCCCACCCCCCGGAGACAACAAAACCTTTGAAGAGAGAATTATAATAATGAAAAAGATTCGTTGTAGCGCAGAAAAGGATGTTTTGAAAATAAATTTCCGTTTTCCATTATATTCTATAGTTAAAAATTTCCTCAAATTGAAGATGTATATCTCTGTGTGTTACAATGTTTCACATGCATAGATTTTTTTAGGGGGGGGGGTTAAAATTTGTACAGTCATACGTTAGTAAAACTAAACAAACTACCGGCTGACCTTGGACCCTCCACTTAGAAAACACCGATCAAACATTTATATCTCTTTGTTTGTACAAATAAAATTTGTTTTACATGCATAAATCTAGAGAGAGGGGTTTTGAACACCCCTTTGAAATTTCTGGTAAAGTTATTTAATGCACAAACAAAACCAACTAAAAGTTATTTAATGTACAAAATAAATCAACTAAAAGGGACCTTACACCCCCCCCCCCCCAAACCGAAAATGTGGATTCGTGTTAAGTTGTTATGAAAAAATGTCATACTCATGAAGGTATGACGCATTTAAGAACCCCCTCTCTCGGGCCTAAATAATTTTTCGCATTTAGGAAAGGACTTTATGTTTTTTTTTTCTTGTCATTAAGATATTTCTGGGTTGGATTTTTTTTTTTACAAGAGTGACCCTCTTGGAAAAAATTTCCTATAAATTCGCTCCTTCTTTTAATTGACATAAATATCAATATAAAAATAAAATTTATTCAAATACGGTGGCAGTTGGCAGTAAGCAGCTGACAGTTGGCAGTAAGCAGTCAGCAGTTGGCAGTAAGCAGTTGGCTGTCGTATATGGCATTCCATATATATGGAATTCCTTTTTTCCAAATTAAAATGGCAGTTTCCAGTATGGTTGTCACTCATAATATTCAATCTAAGTTGACGAATAGATTAACAGTAATCTTATATATATTAAGTAAAAATTCTCTTTTGTTCAGAAAAAAGGTGGAGATTTGTTGCAGTAGGCACAACCCATAGCACGTAGAAATTATTTTGATCGGGATCGACATTCAATTTCCCGCAGTACTCTGATAATGAATTGATTTTCACAAAATCCAGCGACAATCGCAGATATCATGACCCTAAATGGATGACAAAAGCCCAGATTGGAAAGAAACTAATCAGACGAACAATATACAGGTATTATATCAAACATAACAGAGTCCAGGTTCACATATATTTAAGTGAGAATTGACGTTTTTCTGCACGTCTGCTCTGCATATTATGATGAGATTTGGATTAGGAATACACAATTTTTAATGTTTATCTTTTGATAATTTTGACACGTTTGACAATTAATGATAAATTGCAATACAAGAAAGAAGATATAGGGATACAGAAGGTTAAATACACACACAGAAAAATTAATTGCGTTTTGATGCTAGATCTGGTTTAAACTAGTCTCTGAAATTAACGGTGACGGGTGGGTTCGCCCTGATTATATGTTCGCGCCGAGTGGTTTCGCGGAGAGTGGTTTTGCCCCCTTTAAACTATAGGTAATAAATTTAATGTTCTTACAAACAGCGGTTATTAGATAATTAAATAACATTCAATGAATTACATGTAAGTTACACTACTAGCCGCGCTTCATAAAAAATCCTTCGTGACAAGTTATTCAGTCTGATTTACACACTAGCAAAATTCATTCCTGACGCATGGAAACACTTTTCTAAATATTTAGAGCGATCTCAATCGACTAACGTGTAAAAACAGAGGAAATTCGGAATGAAATCTGTACGTATACGCCAGGCAAATTTTTATGTGAAACATTCCCAGAATTCCTTTATTACCCAATGTATGGGCAGCGGAAAGGGCAAAAATTACCATAATGAGAAAACAAACAATTATTTTAATGTCAATGACCATAAGACTTAACAAATGATATACTATGCATAATCAACAGACCTATTTGCAGAACAAATATACATTAAAGCAAAACCAACGACCACGTACGTAACAAACATATATGAATGCAAAACCAACGATCATCTTTGCAGAACAAACGTACATAAAAAGAAGACAAACGAAAAAAAATTAACAAACGTGCACGCGGTAAATCTAGTCTTCCCCACATCCGGCTCCCGACGGTCCGGGATTTTTTTTATCCGATTTCTTTTTTGTCGGTGCACAGAAACTCTTCACACTCCTCAGGCACTTTTCTGGGTTCAAATAATATATTTTAATATATAAAAACTTTAACAAATTTGCGTATTTATTACTGAATCAGCAGTATCATCTGCCAAAAAGCGGTATATCTAGTACTTGGCTATAAATGCGAAAACCACTGAAAAAAAGGATACCTATGTTTTGGAGAATTGCAAAAAAACCAAACTGTGGTATATTTTTTAAAATAAATGATAACCCTCATTTATATGCCAGATAATCTGTATGCACAAAAATTCCCCACATATTTTTTTTTCGTATAGAACTCTTTGCCACATCATGTTTATGTTCCCAGGCTCTACAACATGGACGTGGTTCTACCTCGGATCCCCCTTTAAATTTTTCCTTTTTTTGGTTAATTTATCTTAAACATTTCAAATGAAAGAAAAGAATTTCCATAAAATAAAAAATACATATATCTCATTCTCCTGAAGGCCGTTTCGTCATTTTTTTTCCCGTTGTTGTTACCTAAATTGGTTTTCCCCAATTCTTTAAATATTACAAGAATCTATATCTTTTAATTACAGTGAAATCATATGACAGGCACACAGCAACATTTCCCAAAGAATTTACATGTATTTTAGGAAAAAAATGGTACTGAAAGAATTTGAACCTGACCCACCCCCCCTCCTCCCCCCACATAACTTACACACACGAAATAGGAATAGGGCTACATGTATATCATTTTAGTTTCATATCAGCTAGATTGAATTTTTTTCTCTGGTTGACCCCCTCCTTTCAAAAACGATACTACGTCAATGTATAACAAGCAATACTTTCATTTTCCATGGTTTTACCACAAGTACAATGTTAGATTTAAGCTATTTTCATGAAAATTTTGATAAAAATCTTTTTAGAAATCAAATCATTTTGATGATATGAGTTTTTCTCATTCTCCTGAAGGCCGTTTCGTCAGTTTTTTTTTTCCCTATGTCCTATATTGTTAGACATGCATAAATTGTGTTTTCCCCAGGTTAATGTTTTTGGAGCAGGTTCATTTTTTAAATATTACAAGTACATGTGTAACTATTATGATATCTTTTAATTACAGTGATATATCATATGACAGGCACACAGCAACATTTCCCAAATTGAAGAGTAAGGTCAAAAAGGGGTTATGTAGTGCATGTATTTTAGGAAAAAAATGGTACTGAAAGAATTTGAACCTGACCCACCCCCCCTCCTCCCCCCACACACACCCTCACTTACACACACGAAGTAGGATTTTCGAGTTAGGGCTACATGTATATCATTTTAGTTTCCTTTTTGTTTTAGCTTGTCAAGTTTTTAAAATCTTTTTTTCAGCTAGATTGAATTTTTTTCTCTGGTTGACCCCCTCCTTTCAAAAACGATACTACGTCAATGTATAACAAGCAATACTTTCATTTTCCATGGTTTTACCACAAGTACAATGTTAGATTTAAGCTATTTTCATGAAAATTTTGATAAAAATCTTTTTAGAAATCAAATCATTTTGATGATATGAATTTTTATAGAATTCAAATGTTCTTTTTTTTATTAACACCACCAATTTCTACTGAAATACTAATTCCATCTTTTTTAGAGGAAATATCTTCTCAATATCAATATTTTTAATACATGTCTAAAAATTTGAAGTTTTAAGTTTTAATAACTTTTAGATGAAATAAGATTTTTAATATATTTTTGTGTGAAATGCTATTGAAATATATAAGTCGTAATATTATACAGAATACATTAACTTCAAATCTGTGTCCGTTTTTGGTTTTCATATTTATAATGGAGTACTAAATTTAACGCTCTTTGGCAGGTGATACTGCTGACTCAGTAATAAAAGTTTTAACATATCATTGAATTCATTTAAAAAGAAAATGTGCCAATATATATTGATATTTACAAGTAAGATATATGTAGTCACCTAACATGCAAATGTTTGCCCTGCAACAAATTTTCGCGTTTCACGATTGTGAGGTCACAATTATAAAATAAATGTTTTACGGCGTGACCGCAGTTGTACCATCAAAAACACTTGAAAAATTGATCAGCCACTTCAAACATCAAGGTGCACGAGACATCTCGACTAGATGTGACATCACAAGACGTCACGGAGCTTGTCGGACCTTACGGAGAAAGCCGAGCGACTGGTTGAAACTTAATAAGCCTAGTGCAATTTTGGTCGAAAAACATTGTAGAGTTATTTTTTGTTTCTTTGAAAGATTTCTACAAAATGAAAGCCTTTTATGCTGTACGTTATTATTTATTCATTTATTTATTCACGCAAAGGACATTGGTATGGGCAGCGGAAAGGGCAAAAAAATGTTGGCCGTCAGTGTGCATTCAGGCGTGAAATGATTTCCTATTACTTAAAATACATTTTCCCACATTTCTGGGCATTTAGAAAACAAAGGAGAGAATGACCAATTTGGCACAAATTTCTTCTTTCTCAAGATCTGTGTTGAATGTTCTTGCATCTCAATGTTATTGTTATCGTATTCATCTGAATATTATAATGTGCCAAATTGGCCAATTTTGGAGATAATTAGAATTGACATCTGCATTTATGCATGAATCCTCAAACAGGGGTGATTTATATTTTTTTGAACACATCTGCAGTTTCTTTTTTTTTTCCTGCTAAACATTATATCACATAAAAGAACCAAATGATCACAGTTTATTTGATTAAATACATAATTACAGTGGAAATACATACGATTCGGAACGAAATTTTAAAATGTTATTTGTCTTGTTTAACTGGTGATTCAGATATCCAGATGCTTCACATATCCGGACAAATTGACTGGGAACCAAAGCGTCCGGATAAATGAGGGTCCACTGTACTTTTGTCAGTTTTGCATCGTAGTAAAAAACTTGTAGCCATAAGGCCAACATTTTTTTTATTAAATGATTTATGGGATTTTTTTTTAAGTTCAGTCGGGGGATAAATAAAATAAAAAAGAGATGGGAAAAAGTGTTCAATTTTTTTTATTTTCAATTAGTTAATAAAAATTGCCATACACAGTATGCAGTGTGAAGCTTAAAATATGATAAGCGCAACACAAAAATTAAAGTAGGCTATAAAACCTTATGAGAAATGGAGGAAATCTGAGGAATTTTTTTATCAAAATATTCAACACAAGTACATGACCACCACAACATGACAAAAAAGATTCAAAGAATTTTATCTTATATTTGTTTGCCAGGAAACAGAATTGGAGAATCTAGAGAAAGAGGACTTGAGCAGTACAGCTTCCAAAAATGAGGATGTTCTCAGTAATCGCAGCTCCCTTGGAGATCAAAGCAGTGAGCATTCGGTACATGACACCGTCAACTCAGTACTCTACATGCCCCCTGTGGGTCCTCAACAGTCAGACAGCTCTCCTCAGAGCCCTGGCCACTCACCAAGGCCTATCCTGACGTCCCAGCAGTCTATTGTCTCGGGAAGATTTACACGGACCTCCTACATCAGCGGGGACACGGTCAATCAGAGCAGCCCCTCTAGACTCAGTCCAGCACACCTTCATGCTCTGGAAACGGAGGAGGAGGAGGATATCATTGAAAATCATGTATGTATCCCTGTGTTTGAAATGAGTATTACACATTTACTGGTCTAATATTGCTTCTTGTCATGTTAAATGAAAAGAAAAATGGATAGACAATTTGTAGTTTTAAAAGATCATGCCTCACTTTGTATCTAGGTTCAACATTAATTATGTCTAATCTGTACGTAAAGCACCTGTAAATTTCAGATAATATCCATCCTTGTAAATTATTGATTTTTTTCTGTAATTCAGGAATATGCTAGTTCGGATACAACTGTTGATGATTCTACGGAGTATGTTGAGAGTGCACAGCAAACCGTCACCTCCTTTGGGGCAATCTCCACTGACACACAAGACAGTGCTCGATACGATGATGCCCCATTTCCATGTGGAAACATCCATTTCTGGAGCGAAGCTCACCAGCTTGAAGAACACACGGTATAAAACTTACATGTGTTCCAAAATTAAGTTGATAATGTAATGTGCTATCAATTTAAGTCTTTAAGATTATTCAAACCGTATTACACGGTCATTACCTCGACTTTTTCTGCAGTCTTACAATTATTTGTATTTAAGGGTGCATATCCCACAGCAAGAAATAACCGTATAACTGGTTTTTAATGCGGGTGCAAATTTTTGCGATTTGATCCTGAAATAGGTATATTTATTTTTTGCGATTTTAATTTTTGCGATATCACTTTGACAATAAAGTCTATTTTTATTGAATTTTATGACTAGACATTTAAACAATAAAGTCTATTTTTATTTTTTATGGAACAAACCAAAGCAATTTAAAATACAGGTGACTATATAACTAAGCAAATTTACTCCTGATCTCTCGAACTTCTATCTCTCGAAATTCTCGAACCAAAACCTGGGTCCCGTTACACACATTTCATTGAATTTTACTCTCTATCTCTCAAAGTTTTGATTGCGCTTGTATACACGCCAATCAAGCGTAAAATAGATGCAGTCTGAACTTACCTGGAAACAATGAAGGCCTTGGGCTGTTAATTTGGTGTTTACATAGATGACACTACACCTGTGGGTCGTCCGTGTGTTGTTATAATTATTGGGTTATTATTCACAGGGTAAATTAGAAATAAAGTCACAATTATTTTAAAATTGAAACTGAGACGATAATTCTTGAAATTAATTTATAGAAGTTCGTTTCAGTAAGTTCCCATAGACTATAAACTTTCGCAGTATGGGAAATATTACACAAGAAATTCTTTTCTCAAGGACAGAATACCGATTAAGAAAAATCTGGTAAGCACCGGTGAAGGACCCGATCAAGCAGCGGAATAGCGAAACTGACAATTGCTATTCAGGTTTCATATAAATAAATCATGAAATACAATGTAGGAACAAAAAAATATTAAATTTTTAGGAATTCGTTTTATTTATTCGAAAAACAATCATTGTTGTTGATATCAAGTAAATTACCTGTAAAATACGATTGAAAATGTGCAATGGCATTATTTATATACATGTATATACTTCCGGTATCTGTAAAAGTAGAACTTCGATGATCGCAACTGAAAATTCCGGATTTTATTTACGTATTTTTTGCAATTGAATTTTTTGCGATTAAGACTTGATAGCAGAATTTCGCAAAAAATAGCACCCCGTAGAAAAATCCAGTTATACGGTATTACTTTTAAAAGCATCTTCATGTTAATAAGGCTTAAACTGATAAAAGGTTAAACAAAATTAAGTTAACTTGTCATTATTTTTATCATAAGTACATAATTTATAAAGGATTTTCTACAATTTAGCCCAAGAAGCATTATGTGACAGTATCGGCTGACACTCCTAGTGAGGCGGTGGCTCACTTTATGGGGACATACTGGAAAATGAGGAGTCCCAAAATTGTCCTGTCTGTCATATCAGGAGTCAAACATTTCAGGCCATGGAAAAATGCCAGACTTAAGGAACAATTTCAAAAGGGGATAATCAAGGTAGTATTAATCTGAGGGTTATTTCATTTTAAGCTCTTTGAGATGAAAATGTGAATGAGCTTTTTAATCACATTTTGTACGGCATGATCCATCTGTCAAGCTGTCTCTATAAAAAAAAAGTTATAAAGAAGACACAAGCTTGCCTAAGAATCAAAAGAATTTTATCATTTTTGGGTCTTCTTCATAAACTTAGCTGACCTCAAAGGTTCTCAGGAAAAAAGTATTGCCCTATCTTCTGTAAATTACTTTGGTATGGATCAATTTTTTTTTAGGCTGCTGTCACACATTTCGAACGGATTAAAGTTGTTTTTAGGCAGCTTATATAATATTAAGTATGGATTTAACTTGTTGGTTAGGCAGCAAACATTTCGTGATTTATCCGATTTTTAGGCAGCAAACACTACAGAGATGTGGATCATAACAGACGGGGTGGACACTGCTGTGTCTAAGATGATAGGGGAGGCAATCAAGGAGGAACGGGCTCGCAGAGAGTGTAAACAGTTACAGCTTAGTCAACTGGCACACTTCAAGGTCCAGCAATTCCAGAAATTAACCGTCATAGGCATTGTTCCCAAGAATGTTATCACCTACTCACAAGAGTTCCAGGGAAATGTGAGTAGTGAACACACTCAGAAAATCTCGTAGTCAAAAAAGTAATGCAGAACAATCAAAATAGGCATTTTCAGTTCTAGTCACAACATATACAAAAAAAAAAGAGTTGTTTTAAATTATGTAAAGTAAGTTTGATATTCTACTTCTAGAATTTTAAAGATAATGATTTATGAACAATCTTTTGAAAATGGCTTTTCATAACATTATTATTTTTGTACCATCTAGAATAAGGAAATGGGCATTAATATTAAGAATGTGGGCATTCTGCCAAACAGTGACCTTTATGAACTGAATCCAGACCACACCCACTTTATCATCGTGGATGAGGAGGACACGGAACGGATGTTCTTTACAAATATCCGCTGTCAGCTGGAGCAGCAGTTCCAGTATCACGTGGGCAGACGGAGGCGGCTCAGGAGACTATTCAGCTACGGTAAGCTGGATCAGACATGTCATATAAACTCTATAGATTAAGCCATGTTATAGTAGCAGGTTAAGTAGTTCAATATAATGAGGAAAGCTAGAAATGAACACTATTTATCAACATTTATATTAATGAACACATATTGAGATAGGTTTAATTGAAACACACACATCTGTTTGCAGAAAAATCAACTTTAACAACAGACTGTTGATGATATCGGAATGGATTGATTGGTCTAAAAGTACAAAAAACTAAAACTGTTCTCGTAGATATACATGTACTTGTGATGTAAAAGTAACTATGCTATAAAAATTCAAAGGTCTGCTGTTCTTTTATTGAATAAAATCTACACATTTTTCTTTGGTCACAATGTCCGTGATCTTGTCATTTGTCATCTGTAAAACCTTTGTAAGACTCTTACAGGTGATGCCATCATCAGTACACAATCAGTTAAATAAAACTTGAAGTAAATGTATATTTTCTTGATTTATAACACAAGTCACAGGATGTGAAGGAACTTTGAATTAGATCTGTAAATTTTTAGGCCAATTTCTAGAAGGTCAATGTAAGGTCAAGATCATTGAAAGATTTCTAACAGAAGTTCAGTTATCATGTGAATTCCTTATGTTTTACAGGATCAGATGATCAGCATGAATTACCCGAGCCAGTCATAAAGAAGATGGTGCCTGTGGTAGGTTTGTTAGTACAGGGGTCACCAAGGGGAGTAGAACATGTGTTGACCTACTTAACTGACAGAATGCCTGTTGTCATCCTAAAGGGAAGTGGGGGAGTGGCTGATCTTCTGGCCTATGCCTTTGAGGAGCTCGTAGAAAGGTGAGGCAAACTGCCAAATATATTAATGCCACCCTCAACAAATATCAACAAGAATGAGTTAATATTTAGCTTTTGTGTGTTAAATATTTAAATAAAGTAGAGAATTGTTCAATACAGTCAAACCTCATTACCTTGAACTTAATGTGACTGAGGAAAGAAAACTTTGAGATATCTAAGGATGTGAGATATCCAGGGTAAAACATAAAAAGAATATGTTTTGGGACTATCATGCTCAAAATATTGGTTTTCTAGATACCTAAGTTCAACTGTATGTACATCTTAAAAGAATTTTACAAACTTGAAAGAAATAAATAAAATTGAAAGGGAAGCTAAAAAAAAAACCAAATGCGCAATATGCATTGAACATGAAAGAATTTGATTGAATCTGCAGATTGAAAGTTTTTGCTTAAAATTATTTTGAAGGACCGATCCTGACTTTGAAGAGCATTTCCTGAAGCCAGAATTAACAAGAATGATCGCTAAGATTTATCCTGAAGATTTTAAAGACAATGACATTGCTCGCACAGAGTTCAGGAACAAAATCTTACAGTGTTGCCATCTAGCAATAGAGGTAGAGTTTTACAGTTACTTTTTTCTGTTCAAAGTACATTGTAAGATGCAATACATGTATTTATGTAGGGTAATCACATGTTTCTATGTCCACCAAGAGCATTTTGAGTTTTTTGTGTCTTCTTTGTGTCTTCTTCCATCATTCTGTCAATCTGTGTTAAAATTATTTTAGAAAATTATTAGTACCGATAATCAGGGAACAAATGGTTGCTGAACCTTAGATCATTGTACATCTTGATATCCAGTACATCAACAACTTACATCCGAGTCTATTAGCAATCCTAAGTACATCAACTTTGATATGATTATATCTAGATACATGTATTATTTGATAGCCCAATTGTTGTTTAGATACTGAAGATTACCTTAGAAGATGGATTAGGTAAATTACATTGATGCAATTTTTTTTAAATATTTCAGGATGAACAGATATTTTTCACCATAGTGAACACACAAGGATGGGATGCAAATTTAAAAGACCTGGATAAATATCTCCTCAAGGCCTTGTTTAATTGTATATTATCTTTATTTCTCAGTATGAGATGTGTTTTGCTGAAATAATGTTCTTGAAGCATTGGATGGTTATGTGTTGTTTTTTTGTGTGAAGTTGGCTTAGATGCTACTTTTTCATGATTAGGTGAAAGGCAGACCAAAGTGAAATGGAGAGAGAAAGTATTCAAGGACTTACAGCTGATCCTGGATTGGAACCGCCCGGACATGGCTTTATCAATGATCTTCCATAGAGATGACTGGGGGAAGGTCAAGGTGGGTAGTATAATCTATTTTCTAAAAGTCACTCTTCACTTAATCTTTCAAACAATAGATTGATATTTCAAAAATAGTGGCATATGGTATACTTTTTTATGTCATCTGAAATGAAATTTCAGAGAGAGCTTTTCTGATCAAAGCTTGTCTATCAGTTAAAGGATGCTTGAGTTTCTGCCATGAATCCATTCCTATTGATATGTTATAAAAGGGAAATACTTAACATATTGAAGTTGGACGGCAATTTAATTTAGTTTCTTGCTCACCTCGACAAAGTTTTAGAAGGAAGTCCATTCACAAGGGAAGTAACCGTACAGTTCATCTGAAACAATCTATGATGTAGGTCAAAATAAGCTCTGTGATGACTAAACTTGCATAGCTGATGTATCTTGAATAATGTTTTATTTTTCTTATTTTACAGGTTGATAAAAAATTATTTGAGCAGGCTCTCCTGAAGTTAGACAGAGAAGAATTTGTAGAGATTTTTCTGGACCACGGCTTTCTCATTCACAAATACCTTAACCACAAGAAATACAAGCTTCTGTTTGAGAAGGCTGAAGACAGGGAATTTTTTGTCAGTGTTTGTCTGGAAAAGGTCCTGGGGCAGATTGTGGTAAAGACTTGGCTGCTTGAAATTTTAATTTTTTGAATCTACATGTACTTAAGTTGATATTTATCTACCTCACTTTAATGCATTAGCCTTTCTGATCACTCATTATTTGTCTGTCCATCTGTGCATCCAGTCCATCTCTTTCAAATTTTTCAACTTCTGTAACAAAACTCGCAAAGCATCCTTGACTCAAATAAGTATTTAAGCCCATGGATTTCATGTTTATTATTTTGTTTTCTTAATAATCATATTTAAAATCATGGATTTCACTAACTTTGTTTCTGATACAGCTGTAAATGCTTTGTAATTCCAGGATATGGATCAAGAATTGGATGCCAACTTCCTGGTGAATGACCTGAATCGACTTATATTTAAACTGCTAGGACTGGTAGATTTTGTTCAGCCCTATGAGATGTCCATGAACTCAGTGGGACTGTATGTACTAGACCCTGCAGTGGCTGAGAGGAAGGTATGATACCTCCTGTAGAGTAACATTCACATCCCACCATATTGTAAATGTATTGGATTATGCATTTTACGTTAGGAATACATGTGTATTTTACTCTTAGACATCCAGTTGACAAACCACATGCATGATTATAATGCTCTAAGCTAATTTAAAAAATATACATATAAACTCTTTTTGGAAAATAAAAAGATTAAGAATAAGGTGTCCATGGGTCTTTTGTTTGAATATATTGAAATGTTCATATTAAAAAATGAAAGGTGACTTTCAGGCATTAAACTGGTTGACAGTCTGGGCTGTACTAATGAATCGACGTAAGCTGGCCAAAGTACTGTGGAACCGCTGTGATGAACCAATAGCTTTGGCTCTGATTTGCAGTTATCTTTACAAAGAGCTAGCCAGAAATTGTACAGAACTTTATCTACGAACAGAGATGGAAAGGAACGCCAAGTAATTCTGACAATTGATCATTTTGTTTCCAAAACCATGAAAACATGGACAGATATCTAAGTTAATCTATATTTCTTTTATCTCAAGCTTAACAGTAACTTGGTAATGTGTAGCTTTTAAGCTACATGCAAATACTTAACAAGGCTTGATGTTCTTACATAAACGGTTTAAAACTTCAGACATTTTGGAGATAAAGCCCTGGGTGTTTTGGATATTGGGTACATGGACTCCAGTGAACAGACCTACAGTATGCTAAGTACTCCTCTCAAAGATTTCAACAACAAGACCTGCATTGAGATTGCCCATGATGCTGGATACATTGGTTTTATTGCACATCCTTGTTGTCAAAAGTGGTTGACTAGGAAGCTTTTTGGAGCTATTCAAGTCAAAGAACTGGATCTAGGCTTTATATCACTACCCAACTGGTTCAAGGTAAGTAGTTACTGCATAAATCTTACTGGGTATTTGATAATAAATATCAGTACTGTAATACTCTTTTAGTACAAACACGGATATTGTGAATTTATGGATATAGCGAAGATATCATGGATCCCCAGCTATATAAATTCAAGAATTCCATATATGGATATAACGAATTACAAATATTGCAAAGTAATTTGATAGGTCCCAGTGACTTCGTTTTAACCAAGTTTTACTGTACTTTAATGGCAGCAGTTTTCCGTTTGAGTACTTTTATGTACCTGATTGATTAAGGTGGCATGGATGATACTTCTAGTACATTTCTTTGTGCCAGTCAGGTTTCAGATGTTGCATTTTCAGTTAATAAATTCAATAAGGATGACCAGGTTAAAGTCTTAGTAGCAGATCTCATTCCAAAGAACTACATGTTTGTGCCCTTTCTAGACCATAGATTCATGTATGATGCATTTAAAGATACCAGCATAGTGAAAACTAGGCCTGACCTACATTTTTAGGAGCAGGCCTCATTTTAAAATAAATAAAACTTTTTTGGAATTTTTGCATTAAAAGCATTGCCTCCCAAGAACATACTTGTTCCCCTGGTCAGGTTATTTGGATTTGTCAGCTTCTGATGTAAATATTATAACATGTTAAATTCATGTCACAATAACTTTGCTTTTTAGCTCACCTCAACGAAGTTGTCCGCATCCCAGGTTAAGTTTTTTGGAGCAGTTTTCTTTTAAAGTACTTCTATGTCCTATATTGATTAGACATGCATGGAAGATGCTTCAAGTGTGTTTTATTGTACCAGTCAAAATTTCAGATGCTGCAATTTCAGCAAAGGAATGACCAGGTTAAGGTTTTTGGAGCAGGTTAACATTTTTGGTGCAGTTTTCAGTGTTGGTGTCATTTCCAAGGAACTATAAGCCCTATGTTGACCAAACTTACATGGATGATTCTCATTTCCAAGTAACTATGAGCACTATAATGACCAAACTTGCATGGATGATACATCTAAGGACGCATACTACCAGGCTTGCTTCGGATGCTGAATCTGACCTACATTTTCTTGAACAGGTTAAAGTGTTTTCAAGATACTATAGCACTATAATGACCAACCTTGCAGGTTTTACATCTGGATTGGGTTTGTTCCTAAGGCAATAAGATGGAAAAAGAAAAGAGGCATTACATTCAAAGGGGATACAGGTAAGTTAACAGAAGTGTTTTTGTCATCTTTTGTATGATGTAGGCCACTGGAGTCAGTTATTGACGTGTTACTGTGTATTTTTATCCATTTGGAACCATTGTGTCAATTCAGGTGTTAACATGCGCTAAATTAATTAATTAATTTAAACAATTGATAAACAACAATTAAACAATCTTAATTCTTACCAATATTGGATCTCTTCAACTGGACAAGTTATCAGCTGAAAAATATCAACATTACTTTTGTCTTTGTCGACTTTATTGCCCTTTGACAAAGTGGTGCTAAATTAATTAATTTATTTAAACAATTGATACTTAAACAATCTTAATTCTTACCAATAGGTTCTCTAGTTTTAGAGTAGGAAAAGATAATAAACATAAGCTATTAGAGGAAAAAACATCATCTATATAAATGAGCCTTTTGTTGTTGGGTAATTGATTATTTCAATAAAATTTGATAAACAGGTAGTATGGATAGACCTCGTCAAGGTAATTGATTCTATTTGATTGATGAATTGAATTAACTATCACTTTTCAGATTTTGATAAATTCTGATGTGCATACTAAAATAAGTGTAATCTGTAGAAATGGTTCAAGACACTATTTGTCTTCCAAGTTCAGACTGATTTATGTAAAATGTGTAACTTACTACTTCAAAATTGAGTTATATCAAAATCATTTGAAAGCTTAATTAACAAATCAATCATTATGGCTTTTTTCTAGCAAAAGCAGGTTAATCAACGCAAATCATACATCTTGAAACTAAACTGTATCGTTTAATAAACTAATGAGTGGTATTCGGATCTGGCAGTGACTTGACCCAAATTTTTTACAATTTTTACACAAATGTTTTAAAAAAATAATATTGCATTGATGTGTATTCATCAATTCATATAAACATTCCAAGTATACTTAAATATCTTCAAATTAGGGTACACATTTTAGCTCACCTGAGCCAGAGGCTCAAGTAAGCTTTTTTTCCCACCACATCTTATATCTGGCATCTGTTCATCTATGTCTGTTAACTTTTCACATTTTTGATTGTCTCAAAAATGTCTCAAAAATGACTTGACCAATATCAACCAAACTTACCATAAAGTATTCATAAGTAAGTGAGATTCCAGTTTGTTTAAATGAAGGATCACACATTAGTAAAAGAAAATTACGAAATACAATGCAGTGAAAAATAACACTTTAAAAAAAATCTTCTCAAAAACCACTAGATCAGAAACTATAAAACATTTAGAAGTATCCTCAGGCAATGTATGTTCAAACCTTGATCCTGGATGTAGGGAGGGGCCACAATGGATGATGATAGTTTTGGATAAGAATCAGTAGGTTAAATCTTTATAATAAAAATCTTCTTGAGAATAGCAATGCCATATTTAATCATATTTATGTGGAAGCAACTTGAAATTCAAATTTGTTCAATTTATGAACTCCCTTGGATTAAGATGGGACTGGCCTAGACCACAAGATGTGATGGATATATATGGAACATATATAAAATTATTCTTCTCAGGAATGGGAATATTAAATTTCCTGGAAAGGGCTATAATTCCACAGCATTTCTGTAATCCTGCAAAACTCTTAAACAGACATATGCCATGTTAATTTTTATATCACCAATATCAACACTAGGTTATACCCCTTGCATTTGTTACACCTGACTGCTTTATTGTCACAGGTATTGGCGTGAAATGGCAACACATGTTTGTGCTGGTTATCTTGGATTACCATTTTTACATTTTACTTATGTGTATTTGTGTTTGGAATATGCTATAGTGACCTGTGCAAGTGTTGTAAGTTCTCTCCAGGTGTGGAAGAACTTTACAGTTATTTTTTCTCTACTGAATGTTGTACGTACAATAGCTTTGTAGCATACACGTCCATCTATACAGATGACAACTGATTACACTGATTACATTGAACTGTGAGTCACTAAGTGAAAGTTTTATATGGGGACCCTTAGAAATAAGGTCTGAATAAACAAATACGGCAGACAAATTGCATTGATGAATCATGTTCAGCTTTTAACATTTGATCCTTCTTTACTTGAAGATTCCAAAATTCTGGATGATGCTGAATCAGAATCTGAGGATGAGGATGATGAAAATTTACCAACATCTAAATCTCTACTACAGAATGAACTGGAAACGGTAAAATTTCTTATTTACATCTATCGAAATATATTAGACACAATGTGCTGGGGTTTTTTTTGTTGTTTTTTTTTTTTTGTTTACTTGGTTATCTTCAATATAGATTTACTTGGTTATCTTCAATATACAAGCTGTTGTTTACATGGACTTGAGCTATTTGCTATCATTGCTCAAATAACTGAAACACTAATTGACCACACTAGCTTGTGTTTTAGTTTGTTGCATTTCTAATTTGACAGACTTTTCTTGATCACAGTTTTCTTGAATATAGTTTTAATGCTTTTAGCTCTACTGACCAGAGTCAAAAAGAGCTTGTGTGATAGTAAGGTGTCGTTGTCCATCCGTCTGTTTGTAAACAATTTTTCTTAAAATGCTACTTCTCAAATAGTTTTGATCTGATTTCAGTATAGCTTTGCATGCAGCAAGTCTACACTAAGATACATAATTCTTTTATAAGTTTTTGATTTTGATGAATGGTGTTGTCATGATTACTTAAATTAGAAATTTCCATGCCATGAATACTAAAAAAAAAAAAGATAATATTTTGAAATTGTTTCAAAATATTACTGCTACACAAGTTAGAGGTGGTGTCTATTGTACTCTGATGTTACTAAATTTACAAATCTTGATAAATTTTCCTGTGACTTCATGTGATTTTCTTTAATGATTATCAGAGAGTACATGTATGTCCAAATATGTGTTTGTCATGCATATACATATATGTATATGTTTAATTATTAGCATATGAATGTAGAATTATCAGATTATTTTTTTTTTGTTTTAGTTTAAAAAGAGAAAAAAACTAACAGTCAAAAGAAGAATACAGCATGCTTTTCAGAAGCAGGTAGAGAAAGATTTACCTCTGTGGAAGAAAATCTACCTGTTATGGAGTGCTCCCATTACCACATTTTGGGTGACACAGGTAAATTCTCTACTTCTGGTATATATGACACGTGTAAAAAAAGATATTACCTGGTCCCGAGACCATAAACTGAGAATAGACTTAAGTCAAAATTTCAAATCAGTGTAACTTTCAAAATAAATTTGAAAATGAAACAAAATTTTCAAGTTATGTTTGTATTAAAATATTTAGTACTAAACTCTTTTATGTTTTTGTAACTAGTTTTCACTTCTCTCTTTAGACGATGTACTTTGCGTTCCTGGGTCTGTTTTGTGTGGCTGTGTTGTGGCCAACCTGTGGGAACTTTTACCTGGACTTGACATTGTGGTTGTGGACATCTATTATACTGATAGACCTAGTTCAGCGCACTTACAGAAAACATGTAGTATGTAAAAAAACAAACAAACAAAAAACAAAAAAAAAAACAAAAAAATACTACTGAGAGAAAGTGGCTTTAACATGGTTTCACCTTTCAGTTAATTTCTCGAGATTAAAAAAATACCACGTTGGGGGCAAGGTATGTTGGAATCCCAAGAAAATCTTGCTGAACTCAATTTTGAATTTGATTGTTATAAAGAGTCATGTAATGTCCATATTATATCTTGCACACTTGAAGGCCTAGAACCCATATCACCAGGTCGGTCAATGAATTGTGGGGTACAGTTTCACTCTACAAATGTAGGTCACATCATCTCTTTTTGGAATATTGTCATATTGCTTTCAAATATCTTTCTCAGTGTGTAGAGAGGCCTAGGACACAAACCTGGGCAGTTGATGTGTCTTGGTAAATTCTCATTTGATGAAAGGGTAGCCTAAAACTATGATCAGTTAATGCATCTTTGGGTGGGGGTGTGTTGTGATCCAAGTGTAAAAAGAAGGTCACAATGACCTCATTTTCAAATATAATCATGTTGTATCTAAATAATGCACTCTGACCTAGGGCCTTAATCCTGGGTATTGCATATTGAAGAGGGACTAAGGGGTTTGAAAATGTAGCCTTTGCAAACTCATTTTGATATTTTATGGCTATATGTGATCAAACTGTGTAGGGAACATATCTTTCACACTGCAAGGCCTAGAACTTTCAAAGTCATGAGATGCATCTTAAAAAGGAGGGGAAATGATGTATGACCAAGGAGAATGTTAACTGTGCCCTCATTTTGAAATTTCAAAACTATGCAAAGTCAAATCATATCTTGCATATTGCACACCTAAAGTCATCAAATAGTGTTATTTGATGTGTTTTTTGGGCAAGGTATTGTAGGTCACATTAACCCCTTAGTTCTAGACAGCATATTGTGTACTCTGGTGATGGACCGTACTGTAATGTCATATTGCAAATTTTTTTTTCTTTCAAGGCACATGTGAATATTTTTAGATTATGGCCCTAATATTTTATTGTTCATTTTGTAGCAACACAAGGCAGTGCCTCTGCTGAAACCTTGCTGTGAGATATTTCTCATTATGGTATTCCTGGTCCTGTACCTGGTTCTGAGAATTATACCCCACTGGTTTAACTACACCGATATCATCACCAGCAAAGTTGTCATGAGTGTCGCGCTTATCTTCTTCTTCTATCGATTGCTGGGAATATACCTCCCCATATCTACAACGCTTGGACCCATGCTCGTCAGGATGAACCGAATGGTATTTAAGGACATTGTATTTAATACATTGAAGTGATATGGGCTGAAATTACTTTATTTTGGACAATGTGATTTAATCAAACTGTGAACAAATTTTTTTTCTTATTAAGAAAATTCTTATTAGATTTAATGTATAAAATGCATAGCATGAGCACAATCTGTAGTTTCTAGGAAAACTAAATACAGTAAAAAATTAAAACTAGAATGAATTTACTGTTTTCATACATCATTTACATATATTAATGAAGTTTAGATTTGATACACCTTGAAAGAATTGCCTTTTTGTACAAATGAAATACAACAGTAATTATGTTTCAGATCAAGTATGAATTCACTGTTTTCATACATCATTTACATATATTAATGAAGTTCAAATTTCATACACATTGTAAGCATTGTCTTTTTGTACAAATGAAAAACAGCAATGATAATGTTTCAGATCAAGTATGATTTTGTGGACTTTATTCGGATGTTCCTGGTCTTTATGATCTCGGGGGGAGTCACTATACAGGCTATACTGTACCCCAATTATCCACTGGGGGTAGATCTGATCAAGAGAGTCCTAACACGCCCACTCTTTGCCATGTTCCTCACACAGATTGCAGATCTAGATGGTAATTATTTAAGTCTAGAATTTGATCATCTATGAATAGTTTAAGATATTTATTTTATATTTTAATTATTTTTCTGCTGAGATAACTTGCATTTAACTTTTCAATTTTGGCTCTTCATGCAGTGTGAAGTATTTATAATACAGAACAAATTATTTTTACAGAGTTCTGTAATTATGGCTGACAACTCAGCATAACACATCTTTGGAGTGATTTACTTTGGGTGAATGAAATTTGCAGAAAAACTTACTTGCATAAATATATATTTTTCTTTTTTTGTAGGAGATGCAAGCTGTTCACATCATTATAAAAATGTGACAGAAGGTTTCTGTACAGCAGGTAATTTACAGTTTTTGAGTTCTATGCATATTAAAAGTTACCCATATCGAAAATAAATATAAAAATAATAGATTAAAATAATACAAAAATAATACAAAAAAAGTATATTTTTAATGACCAAATTTGGAACCCTTTTTATCTTGGTTCCAAATTAGGTCAAAAATAATACACTTTCTTAGAAATGAAACACAAAAAAATATATTTTTAATATACTTTATTTCTCAGTAAAAATACAAAAATAATACACTTGATGTATTTTTTCTGTACTCTTGTATTTTTTCTGTATTAAATCCTTTATCCAAAGTACAAAAATAATACAATTTAGAGAAGATCTAAAAAATACAAAAATAATATAAAATGTATTAATTTTATATCAGTCTATTATTTCTGTATTATTTGCAGAACCTTGAAAAAAAAATAGGAAAGTAATACAAAATGTATAAATTTTGATCAGTCTATTATTTCTGTATTATTTGGAGCACCTTGAAAAAAAATAGGAAAATAATACAAAATGTATTAATTTTGTATCAGTCTATTATTTCTGTATTATTTGGAGCACCTTGAAAAAAAAAATAGGAAAATAATACAAAATGTATTAATTTTGTATCAGTCTATTATTTCTGTATTATTTGGAGCACCTTGAAAAAAAAAATAGGAAAATAATACAAAATGTATTAATTTTGTATCAGTCTATTATTTCTGTATTATTTGGAGCACCTTGAAAATTAAAATAGGAAAATAATACGAAATGTATTAATTTTGTATCAGTCTATTATTTCTGTATTAGTTGGAGCAACTTGAAAAAAAAAAAATAGGAAAATAATACAAAATGTATTAATTTTGTATCAGTCTATTATTTCTGTATTAAAATCGCATTTAAAACAAAAAAATCTAAAAATAATACATTCTGAAAAATACAAAAAAAAAATACATTTAGGAGTTCAAAAAAGATACAAGAATGATAGACAAAAAGTTCATAAAAAAGCTTTAAATAATACAAAGCCGTGTCTAGAAAAGTACTAAAAACGTGAAAAACTTGTTCTTAAATGCAGCTTTCAATCAGATTTCAAAGAGAAATGGCTTTAGATTACTGATTTAGTTACTTTTTGTGCAATAATCTTGATCTTTTCTGTCTTACATACAGTATTCACTCTTCAATTGTCCTCATTTCTAAGTCATGTTTAATCAATCTTATTGTCTTAGTAAATTGTACATTTATAATGAGATATGAATTCAAAAGTCTAGATCTTCTCTCTGCTTTGGGGTTTCTTTTGCACAGCACTTTACTTTGTTGAAGAAGTACATCTCCAGTTTTCTCACTGTCATCCTGCTTGGTCCTGCATAATCTACAAAATAGAATATCAAAATGTACCGGGGTATATCAAAATTAGATGCACAGACACACACAAAAAGAAATCTTCACATGATTAGCTGATATTGTCAATGTTACACACCTGTAATGCTTCAAGGGGTAGGGTGGGAGGGTGAGTGGGTGTCCTATTCCTCTATAACTAATCAGCTTTTCTTCTATGGCTCTGCAGAGGCACTCAAACTGTAAAAGTAATGATACTGATAAATGTTTTGCAGAACAGGTAGAAATACAGAACATTAAAAAATGAAAATATAAAACTGTCAATACACCTCATTGGAATTTTTCATGGCAAAATATTCTACAAATTGAGCCATTACCCCCCCCCCCTTTTATTGGGGGGGGGGGATTTGATTTGAAATCTTAACATGATATTGGGCAAGGGAAATACAGATCATCATATATTGATATAAAAAATAATTAGTTTGTGCCAAAAAAAAAAAAACTTTCTTACCACCTTCTTCTCAAGTCATTTTTGAAATAAATTATAAGTATGCTAAACCATAAATCCATGAAGCTTAGTTGCAATGATTACCCCCCCCCCCCCCTTTCACATTTCAAAATTTAAATGGTTGTATACCAAGATGATTTTATCCGTTATTATTCCATGTTTAGGCCTGAGGGATAGGGTGAAATTAATTTTTAAGTCATTTTGGTCCATGTAAATAATATCATTTGCCATTGAAAGCCCGTAATTATCCATACAATTCAGGATAGAAAGTAGCATAACAAAACTCTCTTTTGTCACAAATCCAATATATCTGCATTTAATTTGACCTACTATGAATTGGTTATAAAAGATAACATTTATTAATTTACATTTCACATTTTAAAATTTGAAACTACTGTGCTATTTTATGTAAATTCTTACCGCATATGGCGTTGTTTACACCAGGAAAGCCAGGGCATGATGCTTGAAAAACGCCAGCCTCCTTCCGTTTTCGCATTTCTTTGTTTATAAATGTGATCCATGCTAACATGCTGTAGCTTAACATCTATTTTCTACCAATTTCATCGGCGAATATTAGCTAAATTTTATTAAACATCACCAACTCGCTCAATTCGGTTCGTCGATCTATTTTTCAAAATGGCGTGGGTAAATTACCGTTAACCAATCAGAGAAAAGCAAAGAAAAATTTTAAAATCTGACCAATCAAATAGCTCCTTATTTACGAAGATTGCAGATTTTTAAATATAAAATATTTTTAACAGTCTAAGGAAATTATGTACGAAGTCTAATAAGTAATAAAGAATCAATTTAATAAACCCTTGATCATTACTAGAATAATTATTAAGAATCATTTCTTATAATCGTTATTTTTGTTTTTAAGAAATTTTCCGATTACAGATGAGAAAGATTTCTGGTCAGCCCAGGGACCTATATATTAATATAATAGTATATAGGTCCCTGGTCAGCCATATTGTTTTGTTTTTGTTTTTTTAATTATACAAGTTGACCTGTAAAATAGACCATAAAGTTCAAGAAGAAGGATCAATTTAGTGTTAAATCTGAAGCAAAATACATAGCAAGGCACAGAGCCATGCCCCCTTTTCTCGGTGCCATGTCCTTTTTTTCCTAACAAAAAATTAATAAATATTCCCAGTGTAGGCAATATTCCTTAGCTGTTCTGTTTATTCAGTGCATACTGATAATCTCTTGTTTACATAACGCAACCAAGTGTGAATTCACGACAGGAAATCACTTCACGCTTGAACGCAACACACAGCCACCTGGCTAATTAACATGCCTCAGGCTGTTAGGGTAGAAGATTTAACTTGAGAAACTGTCATTTGATTGCATTGATTATGCAAGAATTAGCCCAAGATCAAAGATAATTAACTTGTAAATTATTAACTTATTAAAATCAGGATCGTTTTTTTTTAAAACTGAGAGTAGAATTAAACACAGAGTTGAAGAAAAACTGATATTTTATCTGAATAAAAACGACTTACATTGTACCAAAAACTGAATGTAATGTGACAAAAGGCTAGAAAACAACAAACTAAGTTAGTTATGAACTGATAAATTTGACAAGCTGAGGGTCAATGTTTCTTATTTAAGCCATTTTTTTTTTCAAAACAAATTTATACATGGCATTAATTTTTTTTTTTGGGGGGGGGGGGGGGGGGAGATCAATTTTCACTTGATAATGTTGGTAGAATAATTTTCAAGTAAAGAGAATAGTCTCTACATGTATTTTCCAAAATGCCCCCTCCCCCTCCCTCCTTCCCTGGAAAAAAGTATTTTCGTTTAATGTTTAATTAAATTGACTGTACTACTACACAAATAACACAGTCCAAGCAGGTTCAAAAAATTAATACTTCCAAACTTTAATAATTTTTGCACATGTTTCAGCTAACTTTCTCTAGTGTAAATATCTATCTTAAACACACTGATAATTTAATTAGGAAACCTACTACTTGCACATCCCTTTCTAGACTTGAACACTTAATTGAAATTTATTTAGGATAATTTGAATATGATTCCTTCTCTGAGTGAAAAAAATGCACATATATACTAAAATCTGAAGAAAACATCGTATGCATGGTAATAGCTAGTTGGGACTTTCCATGTGCACAGGTAAATCACGTAATTTCTGAATTGTAGTATGATGCAATCATTTGTTAGCCTGCAAGACCACTTGTTGTGTGATAGATGTAAACACGTGAAAGATGTAAACCCGCTGAAAAGTCAATGTAAACCCGCTGTAAAATCTTCATGCTCAAGATGGAAATATTTCTCTGGATTACCACTGATTGAGATTAACATAAATTTTAGTACCAATTAATTATTTAAGTTCTAGATAATCGGATACCAAGATTCCTGAAAAAAATATATAATAAAAATTTTCTAAGTACCGGGTATGCTATAAACTTATAAAAAAAGCAGCAGACATTTTGCAAGGAATTTCTCTAAAATTTATAAAGTTCATAAAGACAAATGTAAATAGAAAATATGTCTAAATTTACCCCCCCCCCCCTAACAACAAAAAGAAATAGAGACCAAATATATGGAATTTTCTGTAAATGTACTAAAATCAAATTTGATACAAAAAATACTGACCGTCTTTCTGTAAAATTACCAAGTCCAAATTTAATATAAAAATAATACAGTCTAACTGTTAGGTCTTTTCTATAAATTTACAAAGTCCAATTTTAATATAAAAATAATACAGACAAACTCTGAAAAATTACTAAGTCTAAATTTGATATAAAAATAATACAGACAAACTGTCTGTAAATTATTAAGTCCAAATTTAATACAGAAATGATACAGTCTAACTGTATAGACTTCTCTGTAAAATTACTAAGTTCAAATTTGATACAGAAAAAATACATCTGGAAAAAACTAAGTCCTGAAAAAATACAAAAATAATACACTGAAAATAATCTAAGTCCAAAAAAATACAAAAATAATACACTGAAAATAATCTAAGTCCAAAAAAATACAAAAATAATACACTGTACAAAATCAAAGTCAAATTTTAATACAAAAATGATATACTGAATTTTCTGTGATAGGAAAATAATAAATTTTTTCTGTATTATTTTAAGAAAGTACAAAAATGAATGTATTAAAAATATATTAAAAATATACTTTTCTGTATTATTTTTTGATATGGGTATAAACAGAGATATTTACTTAGATTTATTGGAAACTTAAGCTCTCCCAAATGAAAGGCTTGTTTTAAATTTTTTTATCAAATAGTTCTCAATGTCCATCAGCCTTTTATTTGTTGTCTTGAAACTTGACATATTTCTCAGAACCACTGTGATTGTTCATCACCTTATAGTATAGATTTAGTATATAGGAAAGTAAAGTAATTGAAGTATTATCTATAGAAACATTTCTTCATAACTGAGGTGAGTAATGTGGCCCAAGGAACTCTGGATGGGTTTTAACCTCACTGCATCATACATTTTTTATTTTTTTAAGACTTTGAAACAGACAGAGTTTGCAAAGAAAATTCCTTGAACCGTTGTAGTCATTCATGTATTTATGTATCTGATTCAGGGGAATCTATTTAGTATTAGTTTCTACACTAAATACTTTAGTATCTAATTAGTTAAGAGCACAAAACAAAACCAAATTAGAAATAACTTTATTCAAGTTTGTAAGCTTAAATTATATGTATCTTTTACTTTTTCAGATGTGAATTTCAGAGGATCCCATTATGCCAATCCAGGTAATACAAGAAATTTTAAAAGATACATGTATATAAAGAATATTTCTCTATATAAGAATTTTTGACATCTATATAGCTTTAACAGACCTAAAGGAGGGACTGCGTCAGATTTTTATATAATTTTATTGTAATTTTTTAATTTGTAGAAGCTTTAATAGTCCCCATTCAGAAATGCCCGTATTCCAGTTTGTTTGGTTACCTCATTACTATACAGTACCTGCTGATCTGTAAACTGGTTCTCGTCACCCTGCTGTTTGCCATGTTTGCGTAAGTTGATTGTAAGGGCTGTAAGGTGCATCAGTAGAGCCAGTAGTTACCCTCTAGAGTAGAGAGAGCCTACACTAATAAGACTAGTAGAGCATGAGTTCATTAGTACTATAGGGCTCATGGAGCATGTATCATAGGACTTGTAGAGCATGTGCCCCCTGTTAGTACTCTTTAGAGTTCTCTGTTAATATGCTTTTAAATTAATAGAGCATGTGGCCCTATCAGTACACTTTAGGGTGTCCATACATACGTTATGATAGGGGGTAGCCATCCCCTATACCCATCCTCTGCTTTAGAAGAATGTTTTAGAATCTTTAACAAATAAAAAGCAGCTCATATTTTTAGTGTGTAATAATTTTATAGTTAAATTCAAAGAAATTTAACTCTTACCTCCAATCAATTGTTTATCAATATTAGATTTTTGCAATCTTGACACTTGCTAATATTGCCAAAACTGAATGTTCACAAAAATTTCTGCTTATACAATGTATCCATTTTGCATTAGCATCACTTAATAACTTATGTGAGATATGTCTGCACCTTGACCAGACTGAACAGTACTTCAACATCATCATATGTTGACTTATTGAAATAGTTGAATATGTTTATTGTTACAATCATTTCCAAGGAATTTCTTCTATACATGTATAATAAATTTTTAAAAATATTACATACTTTACATAGCTGTTCATCATGTCAAGTTCCATTCATAATTTTAAAAAGCTTTTTTTTTTATATTTCATGAGGCATCATTACTTATTGAAATCAAATTTTCACAATGAAGTGTCCGTCATTCCACCAGAGGTGATGATCAGAAAGCAGGTAAAAGTGGCTAGAGTTTGGAAAGTAATCATCTACCAGGCAGCTTAACAATTTGTCCATCATATTTCACTTAGCATATGATATTACAGTAAAACACAGTTATAGCAAACATATGTATTTAATGAAATCTTGCTTACAGCAAAGTTATTTTCATTCCCCGTTGTTTTAAAATAAAGCATTAACTTTGGGATCCTCTCTATACACTGACAAAAAATGTTTGGGATTTGAGAAAATAATAATGTAGCGTAAAAGATAGAAATTGATATTTTTTCAAGTTAATTTTAAAATAGGGTGCATGTCTTTTTCACCCAATAGCGTGAAAAATCTTCAAAGACAACAAAGCACTGGTACAGAAAAATCATGTTTACTTACTCAAATGGAGAAAATACTTGCACATAAAGTTTTCAATTGCTCTTTCATGGATCAATATTTATAGAATACAATTATAAGATACATTTCAGCCTGCAATTTATTCTAGACTATTTTGTGTTGGATCACTTTTACAACACTAAGGTACATGTACCTTTAAATCAACATAGCGTAAAGAGAGGGTCCTGAATGAGTATAACAAATTATGATGTTATTACGAATAAAGTGATCAAAATTGCTTTATCCTAAGACTTTATCACAGGCGTGTTTTACTGTAGCTTAAAATCACCAATTGTTCTTACCAAATAATAAAGGTTACAGGTCACATGGTTCCAAAGTAAATAATCAGTATCCTGCATGTTTTTTAAGCATGTTTATTAACAGGTGCCATAATATTGTTAATATTTTGTTTATGAATGTAATCAGAACACATAATACAGATGTTTCAATATTTTTTACCACTCAAGTGAGCTGTTTTGATCACATTTTGTCTGGTGTCTGTCAGTCTGCAGAACCATGGGGCCAATATATCAACCAAACTTGCCACAAAGTAAAAGGGGGAGGAGGGGGTCCTCAGTTAGTGTAGATTCAAATTTGATCAAATTATGACCTCCCAGGGGTAGGTTGGTGCCACAATTGATGATCAAAGTTTAATATAGGGGTAAATAGGAAAAATATTCTTCTCAAGAACAGTAAAGCCTTGATTGATTTTTAGTGTTGATTCAGATTTTTCAAATCATGACCCAAAGGGGGCAGGATGTGGCCACAATGAATGAGAAAATTTTTTTTCACAGACTTTTTAAAAAAAAATATTTTTAAGAACAGCAAAACAAAAAATTGGTCATATTCATATGGAAGGATACTCAGGTAGAGTTCATTCAGATTTGTTTAAATCCTGACTCTTCGTAGGGTGGGACCACAATGAAAGTTCAAATCTACAGGGAAAATGCCACAGTAAGTCAAAAAATATGTAAACATTTTTACTTGCGTAGATTCAAGTTTGTTTAAATCATACCCCACCCTTAGGGGTAGGTGGGGACCATTTGTGCATTTAAACTTTTCAATACTGAATTGATTTTTGCTATTTTCCTTGTCACAGTGCTTAGGTAAGCAATGTGCCCCATGGGCCTCTTGTTGTATATATAAAAATGTATTATGAAGTATTTTCACTAAACACAAATAAGACATCTTTTTATTTTTTCAAGTGAATTTATTTTATTATTTACCCTATCCATTATTGTCTATGGTATCATATGATGCGTTACACATTTACTCTGATTTCTAACTGAAGAAATATCTCATCCATTTCTTCTTGCTTCAGTCTAACCATCACAAAAGTTGACAACGAAGCCAGTGAGATCTGGAAGTTCCAGAGGTATGCCCTGATTGTTGACTTTGAGGAGAGACTTAATCTTCCCCCACCTCTGGTCATCATCAGCTATATCTGTATACTGGTCAGGAAGATCTACAACAAACTGATGGGCTGTAAAAGGAACTGTAGAAATATCTGCTGCTGTAGAAAGAAAGCCAAGGTAGAGGAAAGCTGTGTTATTGTAAAGCAATCTCTCACCAGAGGGCTCCAACACCTCTTTTATTGTCTAAATGACAAGAATCTTGTAAAACAAAAGTAAATTATATATTTTCACCTACTCGGTGATTTTTAAAAAGGAAAATAAAAATATCAATAGGTAGAATTTTTTTTTCAAAATCTGGATATATATATATTAAAATAAATCTATATAATTATATGGAACTATTTTGTTTTGATTTTTAACACTCACTTTTATTTTGAAATCAAGTAGACAAAGAAAATATTTACTATCAGAGAGCTTAAAACACGTAACATCTTTGGCAGAACATGCAAAACAATGTTTACATTTTTACTTTGCCAAACTACTTTTAAGATGACCACAGAGGTGTAAGTGAAGTGCGCCCTCTGGTGAGAGATTGATTGTAAAGCTGTAGAGAGTGAATGTTGTTCATTTCTGCCAATTTTATACTAGGATAAAATTTCTAGGAAGTCTTTTAAAAAATTTATGGTAGATTACATTTTAAACTTATTAAAGTTGTGATTTTTTTCCAAAACAAAACTTAATTGTCTTTAAATAAAAACAAAAATTTAGACAAGTTCCAGATATGGCAAAGATTTCAGTAGTTAAAGAATCCATTTGACAGAGAAAAAAATTATATCCAAGGATTCGAAATATCAAGGGTGAAGTACCCGTACTTAAGGAATAAGGGTATTCTAGATGGGTGGTGTAGGAAAAACTCAAAGTTTAACGGTCATTCAATCTCACTTATCTAATGCCATTAAAGATACATTTGTCTGCAGTTTGTGTAATCACGAGGAATGCAAGTCCTTATAGAACAGTTCTATTTTATTATCATTTAACTACAAAAGACAATTTTTCAGATTACATTAGTCATACCATAAAAAAAGCACCAAATTCTGTTTATTTTAGTGAAATATATGGAACGCCATAGCTGCCTTAAGGTATGGTACATAATGTTACATTGTGTGTTCCATATAATAAAGGGTTAAATCAATATAATAAAGGGTCATCACTCCTTGTTAAAGGGTGAAGCGCACATAATACATGGTGTGTTCAATATAATAAAAGGTCTGTTCTTTATGTTGAATGGTCACCACTCCTTGTTATACAGTGAAAGATACAAAATAAATGGTATGTTTAATATAATAAAGGGTCAGTTTAATGTGTTATATGGTCACCACTTCTTGTTATGGGGTGATAGGTGTATAAATGGTGCATTCGATATAATAAAGGTTCTGTTTACTATGTTAAATGGTCGCAGCTACTTGTTATTGGATGAAGTATACAAATTAAATTGTGCATTCGATATAATAACGGGTCGGTTTAATATGTTAAATGGTCGCCGCTACTTGTTATGGGGTGAAGTATACAAATTAAATGGTGCATTCGATATAATAACGGGTAGGTTTAATATGTTAAATGGTCGACGCTACTTGTTATGGGGTGAAGTATACAAATTAAATGGTGCATTCAATATAACAACGAGTCGGTTTGATATAACAACGGGTCGGTTTAATATAACAACGAGTCGGTTTGATATAACAACGGGTCGGTTTAATATAACAACGGGTCGGTTTGATATAACAACGGATCAGTTTAATATAACAACGGGTCGGTTTAACATAATAACGGGTCGGTTTAATATAATAAAGGGTCGGTTTGATATAACAACGGGTCGGTTTAATATAACAACGAGTCGGTTTGATATAACAATGGGTCGGTTTGATATAACAACGGGTCGATTTAATATAACAACGAGTCGGTTTGATATAACAACGGGTCGGTTTGATATAACAATGGGTCGGTTTAATATAACAACGAGTCGGTTTGATATAACAACGGGTCGGTTTAATATAACAACGGGTCGGTTTGATATAAAAACGGATTGGTTTAATATAACAACGGGTCGGTTTTACATAATAACGGGTCTGTTTAATATAATAACGGGTCGGTTTGATATAACAACGGGTCGGTTTAATATAACAACGAGTCGGTTTGATATAACAACGGGTCGGTTTAATATAACAACGGGTCAGTTTGATATAACAACGGGTCGGTTTGATATAACAACGGGTCGGTTTAATATAATAACGGGTCGGTTTAATATAACAACGGGTCGGTTTGATATAACAACGGGTCGGTTTAATATAACAACGAGTCGGTTTAAGGCAGGTCCACCCTTTTACGGATCCGGTTTCAATTTTACACACCGATATAAAATTTTGATTATCCATGTCTATAGAAATAAAATCTTTTTGGATGATTGAAAATAATTTAGCAAGTATATATTTGTTTATTATAGTGTCATTGTGCACACAAAGCATATAAGTTAATGTACATTATTTATAGGAATAACCAATTTGCATTCTGTCCATAGGATTTATATATGTAATGTAGTACATACACAGACAGAGGATTCTTGATTGCCTTATGAACCTAAAGCTTTTAATTTTTTTTAAACAAACTAACTTGAGATCTACTCAGTATTTATCTTTCATTTTAAGCTTTTGTCGTCTTTTTAAATTTACTTTTTTATAAGTTTTGCGAAGAACGATTGAAAAAAATAGATATTCCAAACATGGGGGTATGGGTGTTCAAAAGGCTCTTTTGTAAAAATTTTCTGGTCAACCACAATAAAGTATGTTTTTCTGCTAACCTAAGATATAATTCTAAATAATTGTGAAGAAAAAATAGCATATAAACATAAAAGATTTTGAGAAATATTTAAGATAAAGATATTTTGAGCATTTTCTCTGAAAGATTTTGACACAATCAACATCAATTTTTTAGTGTTTTCAAATAGAAGTTTCAAATATTTCCTTGACAAATGAATATTTATAATTTTCCTAAGTTTTAACAATAATTGGATGTGATTTGGTACATAGCTAAATAAAATATGATGTTACAATTCTATATGTCGAATTTTGACTGTTGAATTTTTAGAGGTATATACTCCGAGACATGTTTCATGAAAATTAACTTGCAAAGATATATTTTTTTTATGGGTATTTTAGTTAGATAATGACTCATTCAAGATTTTCAAATAAAAAAATAAACAGTTTGACAGAAAATTCTGAAAGTACGGACCTACCTTAATATAACAATGAGTCGGTTTAATATGTTAAATGGTCGACGCTACTTGTTTTTAGAGTCAATGGCAGATAAATTGTGTGTCCTACAAAGTAAATGGTTTGTTTACCATGTTAAATTGTTATTGCTATTTGTAATAGGATAAAAGGCAGATTATAATAAATATTTAAAATGAGTCAAATAACACATTAAGAATGCGTCTTGAGTACAATTATCATTGTTCAGCTAATTTAACATGGTTTCAAAAAATGCACATTAAATATTAGCTGATAAATTAATTAACTGATGATATAGATGGATATCAATGACACAGTTCTCCTTTAGTATTCTTATATAAATCCGTAATTGGTTTTTTTTTCAATTTGATTCTAATATTTTATTAATTTATAATCTTTGTTGTTACTTCTTGTTTTAAATTCATTTTTTTTTGTAAAAATGTAAAATAAAAAAAAAGATTAAAAAAAAGGAAGAAGGAAATTAAGAATGAGTAATACGGATGAAATTTTACAAAGAAGATTGGATGTACTTATCCTTTGTAGAACTGTCTTATGGAATAAAAATATCTCGTATTTTTAAATTTTTATCACTATCAAGTACCATATATTATAAGAAGGGCTAATAATGGTAAGGGAGGGAGAGCTAAGTGTCAGGCGCGGATCCGGTCCAGGATTTTTTTCCCATGGTAGGGGTCCATTCCAGTAAAAGAAACATTCATTCCTGACATACCTTGACAAGCAAAAAAAAAAAAACAAAACTGTTTTTCAAATGTAAAAAAAAACTATTTCGGGGGGGGGGGGGGGCGGGGGCACCTCTAGACCCGCGCATGAGTGTTACATATCTTTTTGCCGTACGTAATGTTTAATATTTTGAGGAACATCACAGTCACTTATTTTGTAATTTAACCTCCTCTGTTAAGATATTATTCCTTTATATTGTAAAATTGTATAAAACTGTTTATAGAAAGACCATACATCTCCAAAGTTTTATTTGCACTTTTTTGTCATTTGCATTATATGTGGAATTTGGAGAAGGTGTTATGCCTAAACGACATAACGCTTTTAACTTGTTACATGTACATACTATGATAGGCCCAACGTTTTTAAACGGAGGGGGGGGGGGGTTAAAATTCAAAGGCGTCAATGATTTACAGGTGTTACAGATTTTCCCCTTACCTAAAACAACCCACGAGATTGGATCACCCAATTTATGCCCTAGACATTAAATCTGTATGTCGTAATTTTGTTTGTATATATCATGGGAATATCACCAATCATCGTATGTTATTAATGTATGCTTTATAATTCATCGTATATGTTTATTTCATGAATATTGTTTGGTTATATATAGTACAAACCCGAATTTCCTCCATTGATCAGCCATATCGTAATAACAAATGGCCACCCGGCATTGTTATTCGACTCATGTAACTCAAATACACTTGGCACCATCTCCAAAGTAATTCCCAACCAATTACTCATCATTTTCCAGCGTTTGTAATACTTTTTAGAGCCATGTTTACTTGGTGCAAAGTTGTTGACAAATGTCGCGCGAATAATGGCGGCACCGCACGTTATTCGCGCGTGGAGTATTTCGCACCTACCAACCAAAAGGTATATAACAGACGTTCTGAGAGACAATCGCCAGTAGTGCTTGCGCTGCTCAACCAGGCATGGTGCCTTCAGTGCCCATCAGACTGGTACTCTACCCATAGGTACATTTTGTACCATTGGTTTGGGTAGGCTGATGCCATTACAAACCCAGTGATTTTGGGTCCCCATCCTTTTTCTGGGTAAACTCACCATTTTGTGAGTAAAACACCCATTTTCCCCAGTATTTGCCACTTTTTGTTGATTTTGGCCACATTTTAGTAAATTCCTGACTTTTTAGCT